TTTTTCCTTTTTTATCTCTCTTGAGTTTTTGGTTGACATGTTGAACATTTTTTCTTTTGCTAATGTGTGGTTTAAAGGAAAATAAAGTACGAGAACCTGCCAACTCAACTGCCTCTTCTCAAAATGCGTGTTGGACTCGACGGGGCAAGAGTTCGGGGTGATGTAAATCAATTTACTCAGTGTGTTACCTCCCGAAAGTTGCTCGTCCAACATCACATTGCACTAATCTGCACTGTTCGAATAAGGCTCTTGACACGACGACATGAAAGTTCACTCGGGTGGGACTTCAACCCACGACCTCCTGCTTTCAAGTGCATACGTCTAACCACTCGATCACCAAGCTTACGGGACCGGTTGGCTGGTTTGAACCTAAAATTGATTTACATCACCCCGACGCAATTAAAATTCCATCTTATGAATAGTAAAATGCAGTACTGCTACTATGAACATCAGATTTGAACCAGCCAACCGATCCCGTAAGCTCGGTAGTCGAGCGGTAAGACGTCTGCACTAGGAAGTAGGAGGTCGTGGGTTCGAGTCCTACCCGAGTGATTTTTTTTTCGAATTTTCACTCGGGAGGTAACACACTGAGTAGACAGTGTTTATACGTCGGTGAAGGGCAAAACCTAACAAAGATTAGCTTTGATAAACCATGCATAGATGATATATCAGGAAACTACTGTGCACGCTGGCGGCAATCGAAATCTTCGATGATTATAAATATAATAATCATTTGTCATGGTTTGGTTTTTTTTTCATTTCAAATGACACATGGCAGCTACCAAATGCTGAATCACGGCCATCTTACAAAACGTGATTACTAAGGTCTGCTTACAAAATAAAATGTCATGGCTACCTTAGCAGAAAAGTGTGTGCATATTTTTAATTAATTTTTTTACAAGAGGGTCCTCATTGAGTATTCGAACAAAGTGAACAATGGTATTATTATTACAAGACTTATTTCGTTATGTAATTTAAAATGACAATGGCAAGGGCTAAATCAGGGCCATCTTATAAACTGGTGATTACTAAGATTTGATTATAACAAATCCCCACTATAATAGCGAGGAAAGGTGGGTTTGTTGACGGTGTAAATCGAGGACACACATTCTTATTCCGTAGTTGTGGGGACATACACTTGTCTGTACGAGGTATTTGTGGGGACCGAAGACGCTGTATGGACAGCAGATCAGAAAGTCCCCAGAACTCGGTCCTAATTTGCCTAACATTAAAAAAAACTGCTCCATAACTCGGTGTACGCCTTCCCACCAGTGCAACACCACCGTGTAATTGAGGAAAGGAGTCATATCGAGGATATCCTTGATTATATGAAAAAAACGTGTACAAAACCAATGAGAGCTGTTACAAAAAAATGTTGGCATTAGCAAAAGATCCATGATGAGGAACAATATAAAATCCTCGATTTTCACCATAGACAAACGTACATGTATGTATTTTTGTTTGCCAGAGGGTCATTACGGGGTATGCGCACACAGGGAACAATGGTACCTCATAAGTCGTGTTTGTCTGACGGTGCCCCACAAGGGACATCCTAAAATGAGGAATTAAGAATACACCCCTCCTTTCGGTTGATATGCTACAATTCACCGGCATAAAAAGGCGGCTGTTCCGCGGAGCGGTCGAGGTGAAGCCTCGTAGATATCCAAAAAGGCAATTACACAATCTTAAATTACACAATAAGATTTCTTGAAAGCAGTTTTGAAGGTTTTTTTCAACCTCGCTCTCGTGGCCACCCTGGTGTGTTGTTCGCCCAAAAGCACAAGGACAATCCCACGCTCCGTTCTTAGAATTGGGCCCAGAACGTTCGGATAGTAATTTAACGTAAAAGTCTGAAACAACATTCCGTCGGAATTTTGCCTTTTTTGTGTGCATCTTTTGTGGGTATGTGTGTTTTTATTTAAACACAAAGGTAAATGAATGGTTGTTATTGTGTGGTTTAGCAGTATGCAGTGGCCATTATCGGCGACCAGGCCCCTGCCCGGTTTGAAACCAGACAAAAGCAAAGGAGAAGGCCGAGCAGACCATCACTCGATTTGGGGGCCCACTTGAGATCCACATACACCAGGGGCTGGAGTTCGGGGCAGGGCTGTTTCAGGTTGTCTCTGAACTGTTGGGTGTGCACAAGACACGTACTACATGTACTCCGTTCCACCCACAGTCTGGTGGTATATGGTGGAACGGTTCAATCGCACACTGAAGACCGATTTTTAGCGTCTTTGTAAGAGAGAAACAAGACGACCAGGCTAAACACCTGTTACACCTGATGATGGCTTACCGTTTTTGTTCTGCTCAACAAGAGAACACTAAGATGACACAGAATATGCTCATGTTCGGCAGGAAAGTTAGCCTACCCTTGGAAACGAACAAAATTCACAAAAGCAAAATGATGCTTTATGCCATCAGGGTAGGCCTCTTCCTCAATTTGACTGCTTAGTGATTTGTATTTTTACTCTAGTGATTTTGTAAGAATGTTTTCAGTGCAGCTCCTTCCCTATCCTCTTCCTTTTCCTTGATTTAAGATTATTCCCCAACTTCTCCCCTCTTGATTTGAATAAAGGAACCGACGTAGGCCCTATACGTGTAGATGCAATGATGACTTCATGATTGTATTTGATTCCATCTGTCACCCAATGAAATTATTCTGACCATTTGTACCCATAAACATTCATTATTTGTGTAATATCTAATAAGAACATAAACAGCCAGAGACTAATGGGCCTGCAAGGCGACTTACGTACACAGTTTTCTAAAAAGAGCACAAATAGTCAAATAATGTACAGCACCCCATTAACTTAGCTAAAATTAGTTGACTGTGATACCCTAAAAATATGTACACCCTAAAAACATAGTGTAAATTTTTGTTTGTTGAGTAAGGTTGTTGGGTAAAATAATTGAGTAAATGTTTAACCCTCCGCAGAGTGACCTGGTTCCATTTTGCGATCAGGTGTCCAAATTTTTTGAGTAAAAAAAAAATGAGGGCCAATGACGGTCACCTTCCATCTAATCCTCATTCAACCCTTGCCAAATAAGCTGGTTTAATGAACTTTGAAGCAAGGGCTTCACCCAGGCCGTGTCAACAAACTTTCGACCAGGCCTCCTGCCAAGTCTCATTGAAACATATGCAAACACCTGTAACTTGACACAGCCATCTCCCTTCATAGCCGCAAACCACAGCCGCCAGTCAATTATCTTTTTAAGTGCACTGTCTGGCAACTGCCTGGACACTGTCTGGCACGTGGCTTTTTGTTGTTTTGACATGAATAGGGTCTTGCATAGTGCGGGGAAGTACCTGTGGCCCAAAGGGCCCCAGTTGGCGAGTTCGTGTAAACATTTTTTTGTAAACGCTGCGCAGGGTTAAACAATTACTGATTTAAACCCCAAAACATTATTACTCATCACTTATGTAATAAAAAATACGAGTTTTACCCTTACACAGTACATTTTGCTCAATAATGCGTAGCCTGTGAATCGTACTCCAAAAAGTTGATAAACGCGTTGGTGTTTACTCCGAGTTGGGCAGAAGTTACGCTGTGTGAGGTAAACCATGTAAACATGGCATTTTAGGCGCGCGCGGATTGTTCAAGATGGAGGACGTACGCCGGGGCAAGACTTTGACGTCGTGGGGACTAGCAGAACTCGTCCCAATTTTTGAAGGAAAGAGAACTACAAGAATTTTAGCTTACGAAATGCAGCCTTACACATCGTGGACTATTTTGGTGTGGTTAACTTGCGATTTCATTTTCTCTTAAGTCCATGCTCTCATCACAGAGTATATGAGTATTAGTGTGTGTGTGTGGGTGTCTGGGTGCGTGTGTGGGTATGATCATTAATTTAATCAATCAAATTTTGTGTGCAAAAAAATTTGTACGGCAATAAACTGGCTATAGTCTTTGCAAACGGAAGGACCCCTTCCAGATAACGGTTTCGCTGTACGTGTTGGATGCCTTCGGTACCTGTGTTGCACGTGCACAGTACCGACAGACTGACTCTGTGAGAGCATGTACAACAGCATGGACTTATGGCACCTGGTGTGAAGTCATTTTCAACAAATTGTGTTTTTGTATACATTTCCGACAGTGGTCGGCCGACCACTGTTGGAAAAACCTAACTATGTTTCAACTACCACTTTATCGGATCCAAATTTAGTTTATAATGGTTACATGTTCATGAACTGGTGCAGGCCGGCTAGACTGGTTTCCTTACCTTACAATTTTCAGGCAACTATAAATCGATGCATTTTATCTTTAGCGGAGTCAGGGAGCCAGACTACTCTAACATTTTCGGGTTTTTTTTGGTTTTCCAGCGTTTTCCAACCCAAAAAATCAAACATGTCAGTGTAACAATATTTGACATATTATATCAACCCCTCAAATAGTACATTTCTGAAAATTACAGCAAAAGCCAATGATGTACATTCTCTTTAAGAGCAATGGAAATGAAAACATGGGTAATTAGCATGAACAATGCATGATGGTCACACGTTTACCACACCAGATTAGTCTACGATATGTAAAAGGCTGCATGTCGTGAGCTAAAACTCTCGAAGTTCAAACTTTCCTTCAAAAATGGGCACGAGTTCTGCCAATCCCCACGACGTCAAAGTCATTTGACGTCCCTGAACAAATTTAGAAATAACAGCGAAAAAAACATAGACAATAATGGGTAGAAACATTTTTTGCATATTTTGGAGAAACATTTGAGTACAATGTAACACAACATATGTTTAAATGTTTACACCATATGGAGTAGGCAAGACTTAATCAACATGATGGGTGAACGAAAATATTACTCCTTTTGGGGGTACTTTTTTAAACATGTTTTTTTTATTAAAACTTAACGTCTTTTTTACATAAAATGGTTACACAGTGCAGGATTAAAACTTGACACAACAGAAGCTGTGTCAAGTTTACCCCCATAACGACCATTTTTCCTTCTTACTGCCATAAAAAGTACCGTATTACCCAATATTGCCTGGGTTCTTTCTTAGAGTGTATAACATGCAAGTGAAGAGTTTAAACCAATAATGGTAGACTTTTAAGACAACTGGTGGCATCAAACACACCGGTCCTTTTCAATTGTTTGCATCATGTTTAAGCTAATGTGCGCATGTTCAATATGACGCAAACGATTGACAGGGACCGGTGTGTTTGCTACCATCATGCGTCTCAAAAGTCTTCCATTGCCCCTTATGTGCCAGCGTTTAACACATGAGGGCGCCCTGTCAACGTTTGAGATGTTTCTTATGCAGGACAGTTGCCATGGACCACCCAGTCCGCATGCCTAACCCAGCTTCCGAAGCCGATGAATCTGGGGGGATTCGCCGGGGGCGTTGGGTCGGTCCACTCCAGGTAGGCCGCCCTCTCGTGTTTGCCTAGGGCGAAGGTGCCGTGATCGTACCGCAGCCAGAAGCGTCGCATCTCGTGCTCGCTGACCACGCCCACCGTTCTCCTATTTACGAAGGGGGTGTATTTCCAGCCAAGGCGCAGATATGTGTTTGTGTTTCCATTTGCACCAATTACTATAAGAAAAAAAACATTTAAAAAATTACATGGAGACGACAACATGGGCCGATCCACAAAACATTTTTTGTTTGTCCCCCAAAAACTGGGTCCCAAAAATTACGGCGTGGGGTTTGAGGCCCACTTAAGTGCGGCGAAAAAAAATGGATTCTACATGCTCGGTGGTGCGACCTGAGGCTGTTTCTGCCCCCTTTAACATAGCCTGAGTCAGACTGAAATAAAGTCTACTCACATTTCTATGTTTTATATTGTCCTAGTCACGTGGTAACCATGCCGAAGGTCATCTATCACTAGATCCTAGTATGGACCATGGTACATCCACCAGAGGTGGTGTCGTTTGGGTGACTGTACTGGATTGGTTGAAATTGGCGGGAAAACCTAGTGTGCTTATGCACATTTACATTGGCTTGTGTATAAATGCACCGTTCACATAGGGATTGCCAGGATCACCCCTGTGACCAAAATGAAACAGTCAAATGGCATTCACAGGGCAAGTCTGTGGTTTTAATGGCGGTTGCAATGCCAGCATCGGCGCAGTAATGTGTAGGTGCTTGCACCTGAACCAACAACTGTAAGAATCAACAGGGGAAAAATACGAAGCGACAACAACACCACAACCACCACCAACAACAACAACAACAACAGCAAAACACCAACATAAACCACAGCACCAGAAACATGACGTCATAAAATCAACATGCACTCAAAATTTGCTTTCCAAATTCTCACCTACCCAGTTCATATTTCACGCCTTTGAAGGTCCCGTTTGTAGACAGGCTGACTATAGCATCCGCAATAGTCTGCACGGAAAAATCCAACACCGCCTGGCCACTGAAGGGGGGTAGCGGGTAAAGGTACTTGAATTGACCCTGGGTTTTGTAGGTACTGGTGCACACTAGGTGTGAAAGAGAAATTGTACAGTAAGTCCTTTGTCAATAGTTCCTCAGTACCGGCTTAATTGTGTGTAAAGGCAGAGGGATTAAAAACGAGTCCGCGTGTTTCTTTGTTTTGATACTCTCCTAAACCACATATGGCCCTAGGTTGATACTGTAAGCTATTGTAAGCTATTGTAAGCTATTTGCAACTGTTTTATGGGTGCCATTTTCCAGAGTGCTTTTTTTTTAAGGCACTGAAGGCCCATGCTAAATAATGGCATAGATAAGGGTTGAATACCTCTCTAGGGGCAATTGATCTTATCATTTGGGGAGTTCTGGGCTCTGAAATATTAAAAGAGGAACACTTTTGGAATAAAAAATAGTATAGGGTACTCCATGTTCTATACAATATGCATACATGTATAATTAATATACAACATGCATCATTAATTACATTAGTCATTAATTTATATTGTAAATATTTTTAAGGCCAGCGGGATGCCGCGCCTCGCGCGACACCCGCTAGCTGGATTGAGTCGTAAAACTGATTTATCAACGAACGTTATGGATTGATGTTGAGGATAATACGAGGAGCGCGCTGTTCGTGGATGAGAATGGCCCGAAAGCGTAGCCCGAGAGCTAGGGTCATTAATCACCCACGAACGGCGCGCTACCGAGTCTATTAACATACGTAACACCCTCCAAAAATGTCTCATTATTGCTTGAACGAAGGGCTTTGTACATCTTCACTTTTGTATTTGTTAAAATGGTACAATTATTTTTGTTTGTTTATGAGAAAAGAACAATGACGTCACATCGTTGTTATTATTTTAGTGAATTCGTTACATATAAAGCATTTAAAAGAACGGCAGTTGTCAAGCTGCCACAGAAGCCTAGTGGCTAGAGAGATAAGCTATCGATTGAAAGGCCCCCGGTTCGAATCCTGCTATGTCCATTTTTCCAAAGACCATCTTGTTTAATAGAAGGGGGAAAAAGGAGAACGAACATGCTGTCATTCTGTGAAATTACTGAATGTACATAAGTGGCTTCACCCACCTAAGGGAAAAATATGTGCGCAGTACCCCATTCGTCATAAGCTGAATGGCGCCCTGTGTTCCATTTGTGCAAAATGATGGCGAGAAGAAACAATAGTGTGACGTCACAGGAGGGTGTTCAATAGAGATCAGTGACAAAAAAAACACCTGAGAGTTATAATTAGATCACGGCACGATTGTGAAATATCAGGATGTACCCTCTTTCAGCGCGTACGTAAATGGAGCTATATTTAGAAATAATTCAAAAGTTGCCAACCTAAGCAAATTGGTCATCGAGTCAGTCAGATACAAGGCGGACTATGGACTAAATCGGTGGCCAAAAAAATATAAGCCGTTTCCGAGGTGACACACCATGTTCGCGCTCTTGCCGCAGCGTTCCTAAAGACAAGGTATTTTGGTAAACCATTTGGTCGAGGGAGTCAGGAGTACGTGCGTGCTACCTGAACGCGACATGCAAGCCTGGTTCCGCAAGTTCCAAAAATGAAGATTTTACCTGGCTTCCAATTTAATATGGCCGATTCGTGAATAAATGATATAATGGGTTCTTACCACGTCTGGTGAGATAACCCACGCTCGGCTGCGTTGGTGACACGACAGAAGCATCCCTCAATACGCACTCCAAGGTACCTTTGTCGTAACTGTAGAATCGACAATGCTTCTCCGTAAGGCAGTGGGCGGCACATCGTGTACGCGAAGCGAAACGAGCAGACGAGATTGGACGGTGCTCAACGTCGTGTCCAGAGCCGGTTTCGAAAAGTGCAGATTGGTACGATGTGCTGTTGGACGAGCAAGACACCAGGGTGACCACGAGAGCGAGGTTGAAAATAAAAAACCTCAGTTCCAAGCGAAACACGTCGAAATTCATGACGAGAAACGCTTTAAAAAAATTCCTTTAAGAAAAGCTGTGCAACATAGAGTCAATACTGAAACTCGACAGTTTGCTATACCTAAACCATCACTGTCCTTTCCATCCACACTTCGGTGAGAAACCACACTTCAGTGAGAAAAAAATGCAATATTGTCCAATTTGTCGTAGAATGGAACGTCGAAGATAAAAGTACATCAAGTAAATTGGTATACGAATTGGACATTCTGTTCCAAACCTACAGTACAAGATTGGTTTTATTTGTGCAACTACTAATTGCCGCTTGACTTCAAAGACCACCAATTAAGTCCCGCCCACTACGCACGTGATCAACAACAAGCGCGCCGCTCAAATGCCACACCATTGATCTCCATCATACAATGCAGGTCAATGCATCACATCACTGCGTGCTCCAGCCGCGCGCGTCATACCTGCTTGCACGTGTGTCGGACAATAAACCCCGGCTGTGATTGGTCGAAACACCACTGGGCGCGCGGGGCTTGTTTTGTTTGAGGCAGCGGGTTAATTTCGAAGAACTCATGCATTGATTGTTGATTTCGGAAATCACAATAGGCGCCTGATTACACTTGTTGCATATGCCAGTGCATGTTTACGCTGTGATGGTGGCGGCAGCACTGATCGATTTTTTTCGAGAAACAATCATTGTTTTTTTTTCCAAGGTTTTTTGTTTGTATTTTTTTCATTTCCATATAACAAATGGCAGCAAGCACGTATTATAAAATATCACCGCTTTGTAGCGGGAAAAGGTGTACATGCATGTGTGTGTTTTTACCAGAGGGTACTTAATATGGTGTACGTGTACGTATTCGCAAAAAGGGAACAGTATATTACCCGTACCCCGGAAGTGGTACATACCTATGTTCCCAATACCGATGTTCCCTAATACTGATGTTCCCTACCCCTAACCTTAATCCTAACCCTAATCCTAAGGATTTGGGGGAACGTCGGTAGTGGGGAACCATCGGTATTGGGGAACATCGGGTAGGTCCCCCCCCCCCCCGTAAGTCGGTCATTGTCTGACGGTGCCTCACAATGGACATTCTAAAGTAGAGGAATACAGAAGACGGGCAGCCAAGCCGCCTATAGAATATATAAACTATACTTTGGAATTAATCTGTCGATTGTTCGTCCTTTCACTGCATTCCCTGTTATCTTCACCCACACTGGCGCGCCCCTCTCAACAAATTCGTTCGTTCTTTTACTCCTTTCCCTTTTATCCACATCAACATTGGTAAGTTCCCATATTTAACCGTAAAAGGGACGGGGTGGAATCCGCCCCCCCCCCCTCAACTTTTTCCGCGATAGACTTGATTTTTTTTTTCGCGACCCGACCCGCATCTTTTGATACTAAAAACATAAAAATCCGAACACGGGTTGCCGCACAGCGAAATTTTTTTCGACGCTACGCGCCGTAAAAACTTAAGCTTCCCATATACGTCGTGTACACAGGGCACAATTACCATTCGTACATATGATTAATTAATTAGCCATAATTCCAAAATCCTTTGACCTATAGTCATCAAATTTCTTGGTTATGTTTATGATGAGTTGCTCTATGCATGTACCGAATTGCAAATTGTTTTGTCACTCGATGGCCGAAATACTTTTACCTTACTCTCATTGTGTATATTAATTCATATTGACTCCCGAAAAGCACTATCAGTGCGACTGAGTCAGTCAAACTTTAATACTTTTTCAGTTTAAACTGACAAATTCTTGCAAATTGTTCACCTTGCCATTCGGTGCACTGTTATTCTATATTTGTCTCGTACCCCAGTCCTAGGTGTAGTCCTAAGTGTAGAGAGGTAAGTGGCTTACACATGACTCAATATATGGCCAGCATCTTGATTCTAGCCTTTGTCCCTATGATTATGAGCCACGAGCCCTCAGCACTTGACCACACTCGCGAAAAGTCCAGATGTCAACAGTCGATTGATATTTCGTTGTTGGTCGGCTCTGCAATGGTCAACACTTCTGACGTCATTTCCTTCCCCTCGGCCTCCTTCTCAGGGTTCTTCTTGCCTCGTGTCGGCTCTCGCTTCAATTGCAGCTCCAGTAAACAGTACATGCCCAGAGCGAACACGAGGATGCACATGACGATTGAGATCACGTGGTAGGCACATGTGGATTGTGGGATACCGAGGGCCAATATGGCGGCGGAGCCGAAGCACAGATTGCCAAACGTTGCCTCTTGTTGGCAAACAAACAGCATTCCCAACAGAGCTAATCGTGAACAAAACAAAACAAACTCAGACAGTCATTTTGGCTCAAAATGTGAACCTAAAATTGTAAGGTTACCGCTAAACGGTAAGTCACGTAAACTACACAAGTAATAACGATTCATCACCTGTGATGTGATTTGTGATGTTCTCGTGGTTAACTGTGATTGACCTTAGATGTGACGTGTGAATGTATTATCTTGTAATTGCCTTGTGATTGACTTATGGTGAACTGTGATTGACTTTTGATAGGACTTGTGATTTAAATAACTTGTTTGTGGCTTGTGCGCATGCGTGATATCAGCATGTCTGCTAGCCACCAAGAGTTCAAACCCGCCTTTGTAAAATGGCCGTCCATAAACAACAGATGCACTCCTAATACACCAGCGATGGTATGAGCATTGCCATTCCGGGGCTGGTCATCAGGCGGAAGGTGGCGGCAATTTTGGTCATCGAACCTCCCCGACCCCTCCGAAAAAAAAATCCCGTAAACATTGCTAATACAAACGTCCTTATGCTGGGCGAAAAAAATAATTTACAACTTCCTGTCGTCTTTTTGCATTCTGTTAATTACGTCAGAATGACGCGTAGCCCTTTGAGGCAAAATATATACCAAATGAAAAATATTTCAAAGCTCTATCTGGAAAATCGATTACACTAAACCTCTGAATTTGACCGTTTGACCCATTTTATCGCTCTTACGACCTTCTTCCTCACACCCGACGGAAAATTAAGCCAACATCTTTGGCAATGGTTATCCAGCAATACAATGATAAACCGAGTCACTGCACTTCCTGATCTGTACATCTGCCCTTTTTTTATCAAAAACAACTTTACTTTCAACTACACGCGCTGCTATATAAGGATACAGGTCAAAAATATTATCAATACCAGGCCGAGTACAAAGGCAAAGACTCGGCATTGATGTTTACTTTGACCCAGGGCAACCGTTTTTAAGCTGTGTCTAGCACGCAAGGTAGTCACACACATATACATATTCCGAACTTCGTACCAGGCTGGCTGTTCCAGTGTGGGCCCGACCAGGATAGAAATTGGCCTCTCGGCCGCGTGAAGCAAAATACGTAGCAGTAATTCACCGCACACGGTAAGCTACGTGCTGAGAAAATGGCCTTTTTTGCTCAGCACCTAGCTCTTGTGTGCGATGGGCTAAAGGCCTTCACTTTTTAAAACGCAAGTAGGCCCAAGGACGAAAAAGAATGGTTACCCTGCGTTATCCAGGCACCTGCACTTGTTTTTTTTTCTGTCAACATCACTGTATTTGCAACTACACGCGCTATTGTAATTCGGTGACAGGTCAATGGCAAAGACTCGGTATTGTTGCTTACTTATTGACCCAGGGCAATCGTTTTAAGCTGTGTCATGCATGCAAGGTACTTCACACAAATTTCGAACTTCGTGTAAGGCTAGCTGTTCCTCTACGGGCGCGACCAGTGTGAACACTGGCATTCGAATGAGCAGGTCGTTCACGCTCCATTCACGTACGGCAAAAAGCCTCCGGTCTGTTAGAATTCGCTCCACTTACAGGTGTATTGCATGAACTGATACAATTTGGAGTGCCACTCTTCCTCACGAAATGGATTTCCTGGACCTTCGCACCTTTCTGCTGGGCGTACTTTTGCTCCTGGTTCTCCGCTGGCTGCTCGGCCGGCCTAAGAATCTCCCTCCTGGGCCCTGGGGATTTCCACTTGTGGGCTCCATACCCGCCATCGTCTGGGGAATGTTTCGAGGCTTGGAGCCCCACCATCAGTTCCATAGGTACGCCGCCAAATACGGGCCCATATTTCGCTTCAAGATTCTCAACAAGACGGTTGTCGTCCTGAACGACTATGCGTTGGTGAAAGAAGCTTTCCAGCATCCGCAGCTCAGCGACAGACCCAAAAATATCGTAACTGATGTTTTAAAAGTGGATGGTAAGCCCGTAAGGCAGATTCATCTATATTGCAGATAATGGTAATGGCGAAAAAATTCTACTGAACATCATTAAGATAAACAAATGGGCACAAACAGGCCATCTTCAATTGCTTAACATGTCACTTTGCACCATCGTCAAGACAACAATTCACTGACTAGCTTAAACATGATTTGAAGTTTTGTATGGTGGAAAACGTTATAACATTAACAGACGAAATTATTGTATTCAACTTCAGGTATTTCTTTGTGTTTCATTACACTAAGTTGTTTAGTCTCAAAATAGCATTGTCATTCTTGGCTTTTTTGCCAGTTACTAACAAAGTTGAACTTTTTTCATCTCAAAATTGCACCTGCAGCAACGCTCAGATAAGCTCAAATGTTAGGATCATAATGACTGATACCCTTACTCTATTTTTATCCTTGAAGTATTTCCTTCAGCAAAGTTGAACTTCTTTCATCTCAAACTTGCACCTGCAGCAACGCTCAGATAAGCCCAAATGTTAGGATCATAATGACTGATACCCTTACTCTATTTTTATCCTTGAAGTATTTCCTTCATTCTTCCTATTTTCTAATATAGCTGTTGTTGTATCTAACGGCGAACCTTGGGTAGAAATGCGTCGGTTCTGCCTAACTGTTCTCCGGAGCTTCGGGGTCGGCAAGACTTCATTTGAAGAGAAGATAGGCACCGAGGCCGAGGAACTCATGAAAGAAATGGCCGCCTTCGGGGGCAAGCCCTTCAACCCCAAATCGTTCATTGGCAACGCTGTGGCTAACGTCATCTGCTGCGTCATCTTCGGCAAGCGCTACGAGTACACCGACGAGGAGTTTAAGTATCTTCTTGATTTACTCACTCAAAACGCCCAGCTCTCGGGCGGGGGAGGCTTAATTGCTTTCCTTCCTGGCTTACAGTTTCTACCTTTTAGCCCCTTTCCTGCCCTGTTGGCTAATTTTACCGAAATTTTTGGCTTCATCGGGAAATTCATCGACGCCCATCGCAAAACTTTCGACGCAGACGATTTGAAGGATCTCACCGACGTGTATCTGAAGGAAATTCAACAGAATCTAGCTAGAGATAAAGATGGAATGCTGCCGGATAGGAAACATGTCAAAAATTCGAAATACCGTCACCTGAGTGAGCGTAACATCGTCGGTACTATTGTGGGTCTCTTCGGTGCTGGTTCTGAGACTACCGCCACTACTCTCCGGTGGGCATTACTGTACATGTTGGTGTACCCTGACGTACAGAAGCGAGTCCAGGCCGAAATCGACGACGTTGTGGGTCGCAACCGCATGCCCAGAATGGCTGATATTCCGAAGCTACACTTCACTCGAGCGGTAACCTGGGAGGTCCAACGTCTGGCCAACATCGTTCCTTTGGGCATCCCACACTCCGCTGCTTCGGATATCTATCTCCAAGGCTACTTGATCCCCAAGGATACCTTTGTTTTGCCCAACATGTGGACCATCTTTCGAGATCCGAAGCATTGGCCCGAGCCGGAGCAGTTCAAACCAGAAAGGTTTTTGAACGAAGGCGGCGAGGCTGTGAAGGCAGACGAGTTGATACCGTTCAGCACTGGTAAGTCAGCCTTTATTCCATCTATTCTGCTATTTGACGAAAGAATATAGGATCCTTGAGCTTAAAGAGGCGCAAGCAGCATAACAACTAGGATGAGTGATGATCCGACAGGATTTGTCCAAGTGCACAGTTCATATGTTTACCCTGGCGGATCAGTGCGACTCGATTCTGCTTGACTTGAATTTAACAGGATGGTTATCGATTAAGAAGCAGCGTTAAGCAGTGAGCGTTTTTTAATCCTTCGCTACTGATTCACGTGCACTTGCAATATTCAAAAACATTTCACACAGCTAATTTGCTCGAAAGAAGTGATGAATGTGAACAAATCATCAACTTCTCCTCGGACATTCTCTGTTTCATTTCTGACCTGTAGGCAGGCGCAGCTGCATCGGTGAGCACCTGGCCAAGATGGAGATCTTCCTCTTCTTCGCTTTCTTCATGCACCAGTTCACCTTCAAGAAACCCGAAGATTCTCCACCGCTGACGTTGAAGGGCAGGGGCGGCCTCACGCACGCCCCGCTGCCCTATGAGTTGTGCGCAGTCCCGCGTGGCTAATAGCATTTTTGTTGATAAATGGATGTACTGATTCTGTTCCATTTGTGATGCAGGCCTCACTTGATAACATTTTAGCATGAGTAGGAATAAAATGAATAAAACAGCTAAAGAAAAATGGAACGGAACTGGTATACTTGCAGCCAGTAACAGTCTGAAATATTTATAGCCAAACATAAACAGGATGACCCAAACCAAATGCAACCCTAAAACAGTTGCCTTAAGAAAAAGGATCAGTGGATTTTTATGGTTTGGGTATCAGATTAAAGCTGAGAGCTTTTTCGTTCTAGTATTGAAAACAATCATTAGAATAGCACTTTGGGTTGCTGAGAAAATGCCAATTATGTAAAAGTAGTCCATTTTCATCATGTAGGCTACACAAAACATTACCACAGGAAGGGATTTTCACTGCACCTATTTGTGCAAAAAAACATGGCACATATCATGACAAGAGTACAAATGGATTTGATGGTAATACCGTTTATGTTCCACCTGAACAGGTATCTCATCCTTTTTAGTCTATATTTGAAACCCTTTCAGCATCATAAATAATTAAGTCAAAATACTAAATAAATTGCACAATTGAACAGTTGGCTTACAGTAAAATGTTCCACTGTTTTAAAGTACTTGTCTACAGTGGTGCACCCAGGAGTTTGCTGGGGGCAAACATTTTTTTTTTCAAATTTTGTAAAAGTTAAGTTTTTTTTCAAAACATCTTGCGCAAAATTGTTGGCCTCAGAAAAAGAAGGGTTTTTTTTGGGAGGAGGGCGGAATTACACCCCTATTTTACTACTCCAAAATAGGTCACACACATATCACCGTGGTCAAATTGCCTGATTAAAAAATAAAAATACCAAAACAAGAAATTGACAACCTCTTGGGGCCTCAAGCCCCCGAGGGCTCCCCCCTTGGGTGCGCAACTGCTTGTGTACAGGAAGAAAAATGACTACTTTTACATTTTTGGCCTTTTTTTTTTGCAAACCCAAAGTGCTATTTTCATGATCTTGTCTTTTTACGAAAGAAAAAAGCTCTCAGCTTTTTAATTTAATCTGATACCCATTTTGTTTGTTTTTTAAAGCAAAATGTTTTAGAGTTGCATGTTTGGGGGGTCACCGTGTAGAAGTAACATTCTTTGATTTCCTGTTTTATAGACTGTTAGGATGTTCATTTGGTCAGCTTTTCTTTAATTTCATCAACTGTGCTCAATTGTAAGTTGATGTAGGCATTATGTTTACAAGCACACTTTTACTTCCCGTGTTTATGTTGGCCAAGCAAGTTTCCTTATTGCACAAGCAAGTTCTCTTCATAGACTAGTTGATAAATGGCCGCTTTCATTAGTTCAACAGAATTGCACATTTTCAATTTAAAAAGATACACGAAATTATCCTTAGATTACGTAATGTTATTTCCCTTTTTTAATTATTGTGTAACTATAGTGCTATGGTTAAGATCTAGAATTGGAGGGGAAAAAACAGCCCATGTGAGGTTTATCTATATACAAATAAGACACTTTAAAAGGAAGGTATTGTATAATCCTATGTTGTAGATAATGCTTTCAAACCATTCAAATGACCTAAAATCTGTTACTTTAAATCACAAACAAGTTAATGAGACAACTTTTGTTTTTCATTGAGACTTGTACATAGCTTCAATCGTTAATTACTGTTTTATGCAAATAACATTTATTTCATTTCAATTAAGATCTGCTAATCCAGGTTTGTTTCTACATTAAAATGTTATAATCTAGTAGACATTTTCTAAACCTAGAAATGTTGTTTCCTAGAACTTTTTTTGTTGATTTATATTCCCATGGGGTCCTAGAACTAATTCAGTTCGGTTTCCTAAATTGCACAATTGGGCAACTCTGGGAATCTGCATAAATCCAAAATGGCCGCTTGACGCCATCTTGAAAATTGTATTCCTGAACCACTTGTCCCAAAATGATGTGGGAAATTTGTTATTTCGATGTACTTTTCTATAGGGGTGTAGAATTTAGCCATAGGTAATATTCCCACATTGCTCTACTACCGGACCCGGGCAAAGTAGGAATATTACTAATGGGCACTTTGAACAGCCCTTATCTGGTAATAGCAAATTAAATCAAAACAGACCTAAATTCCCACTTTGCTCAGGTTCTGTAGCAAGGCGATGTGGGAATATTACATAGGTTTCATTTACACACGTCTTACGTGTAGCAGATTGATCGAAATTCCCACTTTGCTCAAGTTAAGTAGTAGCGCAATGTTGGAATTAAAGACAACATTCCCACTTTGCCGCGCAGTGTTGGAATTCCCACTTTGCCCTGGGCAAATTCCGAATTTACCCAGATTCTCAAATTGCGCGTGACAACTGCATAATCTATTTCCGCCGCATTTGTCTGCGCTCTTTGCTGGCATATCATCATGTTGAGAAACTCGTTGACTTTTGAAATTGTAATTGGCATATCTCGTATTCTCCATGTTTTTTTAATAAAACTTTCACATGAAATAAAACTTCGCATTTTATTTCTGAAGAGTAAACGTTCATTCACCCGAATGATACTAGGAACAAGAAGTTGAAGTACAATTCATTCTGTCGAAGAAAACGAATTTTCACTCAAACTTCACAGAATTGTTCTCCTTCAAATTTATTAAATCTAAGAACGTGAATTTTTCTCTAAATCGTCCGATCTCTAGTTTTAGTGTTTGAAAAATAGAGATCACCACAATCTTTACTAGTAATCTCTACTTTTCCTAAATGTATGTATTTTTGTGACAATATTAATCAATTGAAAGCATGCTCCTTATGCTGGGCGAAAAATAATGAACAACTTTCTGCCGTCTTTGGCATTCTGTAAATGAAGCGAAGCCCTTTGAGGCAAAAAAAAATGCCAAATGGAAGATATTTCAATGCTCTATCGGGAAAATCGATTACACTAAAATCCTGAATTTGACCGTTTGACCCATTTTATCGGTCTTACGACCTTCTTCCTCACACCCGACGAAAAATTAAGCCAACATCTTTGGCAATGGTTATCCAGCAATACCATGTTAAACCGAGTCACTGCACTTTTTTTTATCAAAAACAACTTACAGGTCAAAATATTATCAAAACAAGGCCGAGTGCAAAGGCAAATAAGACTTGGCATTGATGTTTACTTTGACACAGGGCAACCCATTTTTTTGAAGCTGTGTCTAGCACGCAAGGTAGTTCAAACACATATTCCGAACTTCGAACCAGGTTGGCTGTTCCTCTGTGGGTGCCGCCAGGATAGTAATTGGCCTCACGGCCTCGTTAAGCAAAAAACGTAGCAGTAATTCACCGCACACGGTAAGCTACGTGCTGAGAAAACGGCTTTTTTTGCTCAGCACGTAGCTCTTGTGTGCGGCGGGCTTAAGGCCTACACTTTTCAAAACGCAAGTAGGCCCAAGGACGAAAAAGAATGGTTACCCTGCGTTATCCAGGCACCTGCACATGTTTTTTTTTGGTTTTTTTTCTGTCAACATAACTGTATTTGCAACTACGCGCGCTATTGTAATTAGGTGACAGGTCAAAGGCAAAGACTCGGTATTGTTGCTTACATTGACCCAGGGCAATCGTTTTAATCTGTGTCATGCATGCAACGTACTTCACACAAATTCCGAACTTCGTACAAGGCTGATTGTTCCTCTACGGGCGCGACCAGTGTGAACACTGGCATTCGATTCAGCAGGTCGTTTACGCTCCATTCACGTACGGCAAAAAGCCTCCGGTCTGTTAGAATTCGCTCCACTTACAGGTGTATTGCATGAACTGATACAATTTGGAGTGCCACTCTTTCTCACGAAATGGATTTGCTGGACCTTCGCACCTTTCTGCTGGGCGTACTTTTGCTCCTGGTTCTCCGCTGGCTGCTCGGCCGGCCTAAGAATCTCCCTCCTGGGCCCTGGGGATTCCCACTTCTCGGCTCCATACCTGCCATCGTCTGGGGAATGTTTCGAGGCTCGGAGCCCCACCATCAGTTCCATAGGTACGCCGCCAAATACGGGCCCATATTTTGCTTCAAGATTCTCAACAAGACGGTTGTCGTCCTGAACGACTACACGTTGGTGAAAGAAGCTTTCCAGCATCCGCAGCTCAGCGACAGACCCAAAAATATCCTAACTGATGTTTTGAAAGTGGATGGTAAGCCCGTAAGGCAGATTCATCTATATTGCAAATAATGGTAATGGCGAAAAAATTCTACTGAACATCATTAAGATAAAAAAAAATGGGCACAAACCAGGCCATCCTCAATTGCTTAACATGTCACTTTGCACCATCGTCAAGACAACAATTCACTGACTAGCTTTAACATGATTTGAAGTTTTGTATGGTGGAAAACGTTATAACATTAACAGACGAAATTATTGTATTCAACTTCAGGTATTTCTTTGTGTTTCATTGCACTAAGTTGTTTTAGTCTCAAAATTGCACCTGCAGCAACGCTCAGATAAGCTCAAATGTTAGGATCATAATGACTGATACCCTTACTCTATTTTTATCCTTGAAGTATTTTCTTCAACAAAGTTGAACTTCTTTCATCTCAAAATTGCACCTGCAGCAACGCTTTAATAAGCTCAAATGTTAGGATCATAATGACTGATACCCTTACTCTATTTTTATCCTTGAAGTATTTCCTTCATTCTTCCTATTTTCTAATATAGCTGTTGTTGTATCTAACGGCGAACCTTGGGTAGAAATGCGTCGGTTCTGCCTAACTGTTCTCCGGAGCTTCGGGGTCGGCAAGACTTCATTTGAGGAGAAGATAGGCACCGAGGCCGAGGAACTCATGAAAGAAATGGCCGCCTTCGGGGGCAAGCCCTTCAACCCCAAATCGTTCATTGGCAACGCTGTGGCTAACGTCATCTGCTGCGTCATCTTCGGCAAGCGCTACGAGTACAACGACGAGGAGTTTAAGTATCTCCTTGATTTACTCACTCAAAACGCCCAGCTCTCGGGCGGGGGAGGCTTAATTGGTTTCCTTCCTGGCTTACGGTTTCTACCTCTTAGCCCCTTTCCTGCCCTGTTGGCTAATTTTACAGAAATTTTTGGCTTCATCGGGAAATTCATCGACGCCCATCGCAAAAATTTCGACGCAGACGATTTGAAGGATCTCACGGACGTGTATCTGAAGGAAATTCAACAGAATCTAGCTAGAGATAAAGATGGAATGCTGCCGGATAGGAAACATGTCAAAAATTCGAAATACCGTCACCTGAGTGAGCGTAACATCGTCGGTACTATTGTGGGTCTCTTCGGGGCTGGTTCTGAGACTACCGCCACTACTCTCCAGTGGGCATTACTGTACATGATGGTGTACCCTGACATACAGAAGCGAGTCCAGGCCGAAATCGACGACGTTGTGGGTCGCAACCGCATGCCTAGAATGGCCGATATTCCGGAGCTACACTTCACTCGAGCGGTAACCTGGGAGGTCCAACGTCTGGCCAACATCGTTCCTTTGGGCGTCCCACACTCCGCTGCTTCGGATATCTATCTCCAAGGCTACTTGATCCCCAAGGATACCTTGGTTTTGCCCAACATGTGGACCATCTTTCAAGATCCCAAACATTGGCCCGAGCCGGAGCAGTTCAAACCAGAAAGGTTTCTGAACGGAGGCGGCGAGGCTGTGAAGGCAAACGAGTTGATACCGTTCAGCACTGGTAAGTCAGCCTATATTCCATCTATTCTGCTATTTGACGAAGGAATATAGGCTCCTTGAGCTTAAAGAGGCGCTAAGCAGCATGACTACTAGGATGAGTGATGATCCAACAGGATTTGTCCAAGTGCACAGTTCATATGTTTACCCTGGTGGATCAGTGCGACTCGATTCTGCTTGACTTGAATTTAACAGGATGGTTATCGATTAAGTAGCGGCGTGAAGCAGTGAGCGTTTTTTAATCCTTCGCTACTGATTCACATGCACTTGCAATATTCAAAAACATTTCACACAGCTAATTTGCTCGAAAGAAGTGATGAATGTGAACAAATCATCAACTTCTCCTCGGACATTCTCTGTTTCATTTCTGACCTGTAGGCAGGCGCAGCTGCATCGGGGAGCACCTGGCCAAGATGGAGATCTTCCTCTTCTTCGCTTTCTTCATGCACCAGTTCACCTTCAAGAAACCCGAAGATTCTCCACCGCTGACGTTGAAGGGCAGGGGCGGCCTCACGCACGCCCCGCTGCCCTATGAGTTGTGCGCAGTCCCGCGTGGCTAATAGCATTTTTGTTGATAAATGGATGTACCGGTTCTGTTCCATTGGTGATGCACGCCTCACTTGATAAAATGTAAGCATGAGTAGGAATAAAAGAAAGAAAAACAGCTAAAGAAAAATGGAACGGGACAGATATACTTGCAGCCAGTAACAGTCTGAAATGTTTATAGCCAAACATAAACAGGGTGACCCAAAACAAATGCAACCCTAAAACATTTGCCTTAAGAAAAAGGATCAGTGGATTTTTATGGTTTGGGTATCAGATTAAAGCTGAGAGCTTTTTCGTTCAAGTATTGAAAACAATCATTGAAATAGCACTTTGGGTTGCTGAGAAAATGCCAATTATGTAAAAGTAGTCCATTTTCATCATGTAGGCTACACAAAACATTACCACAGGAAAGGATTTTCACTGCACCTATTTGTGCAAAAAAACATGGCACATATCATGACAAGAGTACAAATGGATTTGATGGTAATACCGTTTATGATCCACCTGAACAGGTATCTCATCCTTTCTAGTCTATATTTGAAACCCTTTCAGCATCATAAATAATTATGTCAAAATACTAAATAAATTGCACAATTGAACAGTTGGCTTACAGTAAAATGTTCCACTGTTTTAAAGTACTTGTCTATAGTGGTGCACCCAGGAGTTTGCTGGGGTGGCAAACATTTTTTTCTTCAAATTTTGTAGAAGTTAATTTTTTTTTTTCAAAAAATCTTGCCCAAAATTGTTGGCCTCAGAAAAAAAATGGGTTTTTTTTGGGAGGAGGGCGGAATTACACCCCTATTTTACTACTCCAAAATAGGTCACACACATATCACCGTGGTCAAATTGCGTGATTAAAAAATAAAAATACCACAAAAAGAAATGTACAACCTCTTTGGGCCTCAAGCCCCCGAGGGCTCCCCCCCCCCCCCCTTGGGTGCGCAACTGCTTGTGTACAGGAAGAAAAATGACTTCTTTTACATTTTTGGCTTTTTTTTTTTGGCAAACCCAAAGTGCTATTTTCATGATCTTGTCTTTTTACGAAAGAGAAAAGTGCTCAGCTTTAATCTGATACCCATTTGTTTTTTTTAGAATGCAAAATGTTTTAGAGTTGCATGTTTGGGGGGTCACCGTGTAGAAGTAACATTCTTTGATTTCCTGTTTTATAGACTGTTAGGATGTTCGTTTGGTCAGCTTTTCTTTAATTTCATCAACTTTGCTCAATTGTAAGTAGATGTAGGCATTATGTTTTTTGGAGACAAAACAGCCCACGTTGAGGTTTATCTTCAGAGTAAGACACTTCTAAAAGGAACTTATTTTTTAATCCTATTTTGTAGATAATACTTTCAAACCATTCAAATGACCTAAAGTCTATTACTTTAAATTACAAAAAAGTTAATGGACAGCTTTGTTTTTCATTGAGACTTGTACATAGATTCAATGGTTAATTATCGCGTTATGCAAATAACATTTATTTCATTTTAATTAAGATCTGCTAAGCGAGGTTTGTTTCTTTCATTATAATGTTAAAGCTCGAGATGGATTTCTTACATTTAAAAAAAGCCGGTATAAATATGAAATCTTTCTTACGACCTTGACATTATGTACAAACGAGTCTTGATACTATTTTAATCAAATTGATTTTTTTTCAATCACTTAGATTCTTGTTTAATTTTTAATTCGAGGGGCAGATGTTATATTTAGTTCGGTTTTTTTTTTGCATTTAGAATGTACGAAAAAAAGTAGCAGTTAAAAAAAACGCTTCAAAAAGTTACAAAATGTAATTGTGGCTCATTGTACCTTTACAAACCGTTCAACAAAGCTACCAGTTGGACAAATAAATAGCTCGTAGAAATCCCTAATTGTGAATTACCTCCCAGGCTATGAAATGTTTATTTTTTTTCCTTCACTTTAACCTCCGCCCATTACCTTAAACGTGGGATCGTGCAAGAGTGAGTACGGTACCCAGCCCAACAAAATTTAGTAGCGTGTGCTCTGGGACAAGAATTTGCAAGAATTAAGAGTTAAAAATAACAAATATCGTCATTCAGAACTTGGACAGAGGTGAATCAGTTGTTGAATTTCTTAGATGGTGGATCTTGCTAGAAACGAGCGACAACTTTGCCCCAGTTTTTTTTTACAGAGCTAGTGCATTTGCTATTTAAGAAATTGTCTCTGGTGTAAATATTTGTATTCACTTTATCTATTATAAACTCTTATTGTGTACCACGGAAAATCAACATTGTTATCAATGAATTGAAGTCAGTGATTGACACAACTTGTTTAGGTAGGTGCAGGCACTGTAAATAACATATAGACATGATTCAAGTTTTAGTCTGTGTTTGTATGTGGAAGGTCAAGCTCAACGGTCCAACATACAGGCTTACTTACGGGTGAACATGTTGTCCAACTTTTCGACCATCGCTAAAAATATAGACAATTCTTTCCTTTTTCTTAATAACCTATGACAAAAAGGCATATACATATAACTTTTTAATTTATGACAGCGCAAAATGCATTCGATTTGCACTCGAGTTCCACTGAAGTGATTATTCCTCAAAGTTACTCAATCTAGCACTGCGATTTAAGTTCTAATCCAAATCGTCCGGTTTCTAGTTTAACTGTTTGGAAATTAGACATCAAACAATCTTAACTCTCTAAATTCCAAAGAGTAAAAATTAGGGACTAGACGTATTGGATTGAAAATTACTCTCATTTTAGATTGAAAAGGTGTAAAAAAAGAACCACTTTAGTCGAAGTCGAGTAAAAACTCGATAGTTTTGATTGAAGGAATTTTACTCTAAAACGTCTAGTCCCTAGTTTCCGACTGTGAGAGTGAATCTTCACTCGAATGGAGTGAATTTTCACTCTTAGGAATTAAGTGAGTACTAGTCTTCTTTTCCCTAACGAATGAGCTTTTTCCCTTTAGGCCCCCCAAAAAAAGTTTCCGGTTTCTGGTATGGAGCTTGCCCAAAAAGTGTTTTTTTTTACCTGTTTTTTTTTTGCTTCAAATGTCGACGGATGACTGCAAAATGGTGCCCGACTAAACTTAGTGCAAATATATGGGGGTCCAGAGAGGCCACATAAAGCTTATTCTCGATCATAACCCCATCTAAAAACACGTTAAAATTTTGCAGCAGCAGGATTCCAGTCAAACCAGTGAGTTTGATGGTTTTGAGACATCATCTTTCATTGAAAAAAAAACTTTTTCATTTTGCCGACGTGCATGGCTACGGCGACGCGCGCGCATACCAGAAACCGGAACCTTATTTTTGTTGCCCTTAATCCGCCACATTTCAGGTTTTAAAGCCCGCCGCACACGAGAGCTACGTGCTTAGCAAATAGTCTCTTGAGGCCTTCTGCTCAGCACGTATAGCTCACCATGTGCGGTCAATTTTTGCTGCATTTTCTGCCTCGCGAGACCGGGAGGCTAATGTCTCCCATGTTTGATTTCTTTCGCCTCGCGAAAATCTCCCCGTGTGTGCGGAAGGCAAGTTCCGTGCAGTCTATGTTATATACCCTGGCCCTGGCAAAGCCGATCGTGGTCTATATGTAAAGAGATTCGGCAATTAATTATGCAACTAGACTGCGTAGGACCTTGAGAAACTGACCAATCAGCAGGCGCTTTCTATACGCGAGTAATTCGAGCTCCCCGCGAGTGTAAACATAACGCCCACGATGAGTAGCATTTTTTTTTGTATAGGCTGTTGTATTACAAAACATGGCATCGAAATTGACCAATCCCAATCTTAGTCCTGATTTCGGAATGAAATGATGTCACGCATGCTTAGATATAATCAGACATTAGACAGGAGACTGGGCTCCGTGGATAACGGGTGGTAAATTCAGACTAAGTTCCTTGCTAAGTTAAACATTAGAAACACACTCTTGGAAAAAATGGTCCGGTTAACATATTCTTCATGATGGGACTTGCGGTTTTGCCGAAGTCAATGGAACGTAATCGGCTGACTGATAAGGTTTAAACACAAAACCACGAGCCAATGAGGTTTTGTATAGAAAGCTGGCCGAACCACTTTTTGTGAGAGTGTGCCGGTAATGAAAAGATTAACTAGCCAATGAAATCACGTAACATGTACACACAATTTTAAGATATTTTTTTTGCAAATAATTATAAAGCGTGCGGGCGTTGTCTTCATTTTGAGTGCATTCGATTACTTCCCCAGCTTACTCGCACCTGGCTCCTCGCGTGATGACCGACATGCGCTGTGGTGCTAACTAAGCGAACGGCTTCGGGTACGGTTTCGCGCAAGAAAAGTTGAACTTTGACATGACACGGACTGCATCCGAATCAACTGTCTAGAGCTATGTCCACGCCCATTGAAAGTACGCGGGGACGCGCTGACAATAGACGTAGCCGTAGCTGTAGAAGCCCGTTTCGGACACGGCCTGAGGCGCGCCCGCTGGACGTCACGTTGGCAGTCATGTTTATTGCATGGCCTTATGGGATACTTACCCAAGTAACCGGCTCGGCGAGTCGGTTACTTGGGCCAGGCTCGAGTAAGCGCGAGAAGTCACGTGAGAGGTAAATCGAACGCTGTTGCGCTTGCACGAGTAAACGCGGGGGAAGTAATCGAACGCACTCTTTTCGGGTTATAAATCAACGGACTAATAAACAAGAGCAATGCGCTTTCATTTGTTAGTTAATCATTTAAAACTCAGCACGTATGGCTCAAGCCCCCCGCTTACGGCAGCTACGTGCTGAGCAAAAAGGCATTCGAGGCCATTTGCTCAGCACGTAGCTCAGGTTCGCCGCACACGGTGATATTTTCGCCCCTCGAAGTGAAAGAATTCAAACAGGCAAGAACGGCCTCGCGAGGCAGAAAACTCAGCAATAATTCATCGCACACGGTGAGCAACGTGCTGAGTAAACGGCCTCGAGGGACTGTTTGCTCACCACGTAGCACCTGCATGCGTCGGGCTCCGGGCCTACACTGTTCAAAACGCAAGTAAGCCCAAGGACGCAAAAGAATGGTTACCCTGCATTACGACAGTGAGAAATCAGTCAATGGCACACTTGCTGTGATCCAGGTACCTGCACTGGTTTGTTTATCCATCCCCCTCAACACAACTGGGCCCAATTTCATAGCACTGCTTAACAGTAAGCAGAAAAGTTGTGCTTACTATAGCAGAAAATCATGCTGCTGCTTAAGCACTATTTCATGCCGTGAACGTGCTAACGGTTGCGCGCGCATGGAGATTCTATTGTTACGTCACTGATTTAAGCAAAGTTTTCTTCTGGGGTTAAGTGTGTTTTTGCTGTGCTTACTGCTTAACGGTCCCTATGAAATAGATGGAGGCTCGTTAAGCACAAAGTCCGCTGTTAAGCAGCGCTATGAAATTGGGCCCTGTACTTGCAAGTATACGCGCTATTACAATTAAGGTGAAAGGTCAAATATGTTATCAACACAAGGCAAAGGGCAATACAAAAGCAAAGACTCGGTATTGTTGGCTACAGTTTTTTTTAAGCTGCGTCATGCATGCACTGAAGTGTACCCACAAGGCCACGTCATTCCGAACTTCGTACAAGGCTGGTTGGTCGGTTGTTCATGTGACGCGACTAGCGTGAACACACTGACACTCGATCGAGCAGGACCTTCACGCTTTTTTCACGTTCGGGGAAAAAGCTCCAGTTGAAATTCTCTCCACGTACAGGTGTTTTACATTAACTGGTACTATTTGGAGGGCCACTCTTCCCCACGTAATGGATTTCCTGGATATTCGCACCTTTCTGCTGGGCGTTCTTTTGCTCCTGGTCTTCCGCTGGTTGCTTGGCCGGCCTAAGAATCTCCCTCCTGGGCCCTGGGGATTCCCACTTCTCGGCTCCATACCCGCCATCGTCTGGGGAATGTTTCGAGGCTCGGAGCCCCACCATCAGCTCCATAGGTACGCTGCCAAATACGGGCCCATATTTCGCTTCAAGTTTCTCAACAAGACGGTTGTCGTCCTGAACGACTACGCGTTGGTGAAAGAAGCGTTCCAGCATCCGCAGCTCAGTGACAGACCCAAAAATATTTTCACTGAATTTTTAGGATTGGAAGGTAAGCCATTACAATGCAGATTCATCTACTTTGCAGAAAATGGCAACATCCGTACAAATGTGCCACTATGCATTCAGGTCGAAAACGGCATACACTGACCGCTCTCCATGCATTTGCAAAATGTCCATTTACATCGATGTAAAGTAAACAATATTTTTTATTCATTGAGTTTGAACAAGAATGGGAGCTTTGTATGGTGAAAAGAAATTTGATTATAGGTTTTCCCAGTTATTTTACACTTCCATTACACAAATGAAATTCCATTGGCCGCTTTTGACATCGAAAATGGGAATTGAACTACAAAATTAAAACATTGTTCTAGGGAATTTGTGTGATGTAAACATTAAAATAACTGGAAAAACCTACACTCTAAAAGACGAGATTCATTCCGCAGAACAAAACGTAAACTCCTTTATTGATAATTGCACTAAATTTAATTGAAACGTCAACGCATCTTTGAACAGATGTCTCGTTTTGTGCTTGTTAGTAACAAAGTAGAACGTCTTTCATCTCAAGGCATTCACGCATCAAGTAACGCTCAGACAAGCCCAGATATTACGATTGATACCCTTACCCAATTTCATCATTAAGATATCATTTTGCACTATTTTCTAAAAGGGGTTGGTGCATCTAACGGTGAAGCTTGGGCGGAAATGCGTCGATTCTGCCTAACTGTGCTCCGGAGCTTTGGAGTCGGCAAGTCTTCATTCGAGGAGCAGATAGGCACCGAGGCCGAGGAACTAATCAAAGAAATGGCCGCCCTTGGGGGCAAGCCCTTCAACCCTAAGCCGTTCCTCGGCAACGCTGTGGCTAACGTCATCTGCTGCGTCATCTTCGGCAAGCGATACAAGTACACCGATGAGGAGTTTAAGTATCTCCTTGACTTGCTCAGCCGCAACGCCAAACTTGCAGGTGGGGGAGGCGCTGTCATGGTCAATCCTAGTTTAAGGCATCTGCCCTTTATCCCCTTTGCTGAGCTGTTGGCAAATTTCAACGAAATTACTTGCTTTATCGGGAATATCGTCGACGCCCATCGCAAAACTTTCAACGCTGACGATTTGAAGGATTTCACCGACGTGTATCTGATGGAAATTCAACAGAATCTAGCTAGAGATAAAGATAGAATGCTACCGGATGGGAAACATCCCAAAGCGTCAAAGTACGGTCACCTGAGTGAGCGTAACATCGTCGGTACTATTATGGGTCTCTTTGCAGCTGGTTCTGAGACTACTGCCACCACTATCCAGTGGGCATTACTGTACATGATGGTGTACCCTGACATACAGAAGCGAGTCCAGGCCGAAATCGACGACGTTGTGGGTCGCAACCGCATGCCCAGAATGGCTGATATTCCGGAGCTGAACTTCACTCGAGCGGTAATCTGGGAGGTCCAACGTCTGGCCAACATCGTTCCTTTGGGCGTCCCACACGCCGCTGCTTCAGATATCTATCTCCGAGGCTACTTGATCCTCAAGGATACCTTTGTTTTGCCCAACATGTGGACCATCTTTCAAGATCCCAAGCATTGGCCCGAGCCGGAGCTGTTCAAACCAGAAAGGTTTCTGAACGAAGGCGGCGAGGCTGTGAAGGCAGACGAGTTGATACCGTTCAGCACTGGTAAGTCAGCCTTTAGTCACTCTACTCAGCTATTTGACACAGAAATAAAGGCTCTTTGAGCGCAAACGGGCGCTAGGCAGCATAACAAGTAGGATGAGTGATATTCACTCAAACGGGATTCTGCTTGACGAGAACGCATCAGGATGGTTATCAATAAAGCAGTGTAGGGTGAAGCAGTGAGCGGTTTTTTAAAACTTCACTTCTGATTCGCGTGCACTTGCAATATTCGAAAACCTTTCATACAGCTGATTTGCTCGAAAAAAAAGTGATGAATGTGAACAAATCATCTATTTCTCTTCGGACATTCTCTGTTTCATTTCTGACCTGTAGGCAGGCGCAGCTGCATCGGGGAGCACCTGGCCAAGATGGAGATCTTCCTCTTCTTCGCTTTCTTCATGCACCAGTTCACCTTCAAGACACCCGAAGATTCTCCACCGCTGACGTTGAAGGGCAAGGGCGGCCTCACGCACTCCCCGCAGCCCTTTGAGTTGTGCGCAGTCCCGCGTGGCTAATAGGATTTGTGTTGATAAGTGGATGTACCGGGTCCGTTCCATTGGTGATGCACGCCTCACTTGAACAAAATTGAGCATAAGCAGGAATAAACGACAGAAAATCAGCTGGAAAATGGAACGGGACCGGTACGCTTGCACCCAGTAGGACTTAATAACCTTACGTATGCAAGTAAAATTCTTAGATTTCCGGTTTATAGACTGTTAAGATGTTCATTTGGTCAGCGTTTCTTTAATTTCTTTAACTGTACTAAATTGATACAATTAAAGCATTATGTTTACAAGCACACCCTTACTCCCCACGTAAATGTTGCCCCATCAAGTTTTGTATCTCGTTGAATCAATACAATGATTTTCAGATTTTCAAAGTAAAACTTTATGATCTGCTGTAGACGAAGCAAAATCGATGTCGTATATCAGTCATGATGTTGCTAAGGCAAAGTGTCTGGTGTTCTGGGCAAAGCTAACCTGATTACGTACGTAGACGCTATAATAAAGTAGTTAAATCCATGCACCCCAAAAAAAACATGGCCTTTTGAACGTTGTGTCTCTCAGAAAATATGCTCAGTACGATTGAAATGTTACATTTTAAGGGAAGACGACATTGTTATATTTAATGTCAATGAAAAAATTCTCGGTCATCGATCCCGAAACGTCAATTCTGGTTACTGGTAAAGCTGACCTTCAAGTCTGGAAGAAATCGTTTGAAAACTTCCCCCAAATACAATTTCTAGGAATCTCTTCAAGTTGTTAATTCACGAGAAGTTCAACACTTATATCATCTAAGAATATTCCGAATTTCAGCTTAATCTGTTGTTGCAAATGCTAGTTTTCCAACTAGAACTATATCCATGGAAAATTTCGACGAGGATTATATAATTTATATAATCCAATGCTGAAGATAATACTTTCAATTCATTCAAATGACTTAAAGTCTGCTACTGTAAATCTCAAACAAAATTTAATTGACAGCTGTTTTTCCATCGGGGCTGGTACATACATTCACTCGCTAATTATTGTTTTATGCAACTTACATTTATTACATGTCAATTAAGATCTGGTTTGTTCAGTTTGTTTCCTCATAATAATAAAAAAAAATCAGCTCAAAATGATTTCTTTCATTTGACAGAATGGCATAGCTTCAAAATTCTTTTTAAAGATTAAACCGGAAAAATCATGAAATCGACAGCTTAAAATTATCAGGAATCAGGCTGGAGTAGTGGTATTTTCCTCGCCTTCCACCGCTGTGATCCGAGTTCGAATCCCGCCTGGGCCAATATGTGGATTGGGTTTTCAGTCCCAACCTGATTCCGTGGTTTCCCCCAAAATATTTTTTGGGCTTTTCCTCCCACCTCTTAAACTGTAAATTCTTCTCATTGTCTACTCTCTACAGGTTCCTTTAGGCTTGTGAGCTACAGTGCCCTTGGTTTCGTAACAAGAAAAAGAAATGAATAAAAATTATACACAAATGAGTATTTGATAAAATTTTATTTGAATTGCTTTTCAATGGCCAGTTAATTGGGTTTTTGGGGTTTTTTCGGGGGGGGGCGGCGGGCTCGAGTGGTAGACTCCATCTTCTGTCTTGTTTCATGACCAATCATCTTGCCAGAATTAATTTCAATGCGTCTTTTAATTTTTGAGATAGCTTGTCCAGCTGGACTATGGTTTCTGTGCAAAAGTGAGGCAAATGTTCTGTTTTGTGGCGACTGCAGCCTGTCGCAAACGTTTTATCTGTGTTGACTCAAGACACTGTTGAGGGAGAGAAAAACAGTATTTTGTCTCTTCTGTCTTTTTGTCTATTTTTTTATAACCAAACATCTGGCCAAGATTTATTTCAGTACATCACCTAATTTATGAGATAGCTTGTCAAGCTAGACTTTGGTTTCTGTGTAAAAGTGAGGCAAATGTTCTGTTTGGCCTACGACTGCTTCCTATTGCACACTTAATATGTGTGGACACAAGACGCTGGTGAGGGAGAAAAAACAATATTTTGTCTTAATCTTTCGTCTTGTTTGTTTACATTTAATATCACATCATATGGCTAGAATTTTATTTCGATACGTCATTTAATTTTTGAGATATCTTGTCAAGCTAAACAAGATATTGTTTCTGTGCAAAAGTAAGGCAAATGTTCTGTTTTCTGCCGACTGAGGCCTATCGCCCGGTTTGTATCTGTGTTGACACAAGACACTGTTAAGGGAGAGAAAAACAATATTTTGTCTTAATCTTCTGTATTTTTTTTCTATTTTTAATAACCATTCAGCTGGCCAGAATTGAATTCAATATGTTACTTAATTTTTGAGATACTTTGTCTACCATCACAATGGTTTCTGTGCAAAAGTGAGCCGAATGTTCTGTTTTCTGCCGACTGCAGCCTATCGCCCGGTTTTTATCCGTGTTGACACAAGACACTGTTCAGGGAGAGAAAAAAAAGATTTTGTCTAAATCTTTTCTCCGCGTTGACACAAGACACTGTTGAGGGAGTGAAAAACAATATTTCGTCTAAATCTTCTGTCTAGTTTGTCTATTATTCATGATAAATCACCTGGCCACCGTTCGATTAGATGTATTGCTAAATTTTTGAGAAAGTTTGTCGACGTGACTATCGTTTCCGTGCAAAAAGTGAGGAAAATGGTCTGTTTGGACTGGGACTGCATTCTCTCGCCAACTTTTTCTCCGCTTTGAAACATGACACTGTTGAGGGAGAGAAAAACAATATTTTGTCTAAATCTTCTGTATAGTTTGTCCATTTTTATGATAAATCACCTGTCGACCGTTTGATTAAATGCAATGCTTACTTTTGAGATAGTTTGTCGACGTGACTATCGTCTCCGTGCAAAAAGTGTGGAAAAAGGTCTGTTTGAACTGGGACTGCATACTCTCGCCAAGTTTTTCTCCTCTTTGAAACATGACACTGTTGAGGAAGAGAAAAACAATATTTCGTCTAAATCTTCTGTCTAGGTCGTCTATTTTTCATGATAAATCACTTGGCCACCGTTCAATTTGATGCATTGCTTAATTTTTGAGATAGTTTGTCGACGTGACTATCGTCTCCGTGCAAAAAGTGTGAAAAATGGTCTGTTTGAACTGGGACTGCATACTCTCGCCAAGTTTTTCTCCGCTTTGAAACATGACACTGATGAGGGAGAGAAAAACAATATTTTGTCTAAATCTTCTGTCTAATTTGTATGTTTTTAATGATTAATCACCTGGCCACCGTTCAAATAAATTCATTGCTAAATTTTGAAATAGTTTGTCGACCTGACAATCGTTTCCGTGCAAAAAGTGTGGAAAATGGTGTGTTTTGACTGGGACTGCATACTCTCGCCAAGTTTTTCTCCAGTTGAGTGAGAGAAAAACAATATTTGGACTAAATCTTCTGTCTAGTTTGTCTATTTTTCATGATAATTCACCTGGCCACCGTTCGATTAAATGCATTGCTTAATTTTTAAAATAGTTTGTCGACGTGACTATCGTTTCTATGCAAAAAGTGTGGAAAATGGTCTGTTTGGACTGGGACTGCATACTCTCGCACAGTTTTTCTCCGCTTCGAAACATGACACTGTTGAGGGAGAGAAAAACAATATTTTGTCTAAATCTTCTGTCTACTTTGTTTTTTTTTTCATGCCCAACATGTGGACCATCTTTCGAGATCCCAAGCATTGGCCTGAGCCAAAGCTGTTTCTCTAATGTTATCAGCTGTATAAATTATAAGTATATAGCCTTTTTTTTCAATATACCTAGCTATTCGATAAGAAGGTCTGCATGCACGCACTAAAGGGGTTGCTATGCAGCATAACAACGAGGATGAGTGATTAGCACTCAAACGGGATTCAGTGCGACTCAATTCTGCTTTACGAAAACGCATTAGGATGGTTAATCAATAAAGCAGCGGCAAAAACCAGTGAACTTTTTTTTTTCTTTTTTAATAACTACGTGGGTTTGATTCGTGTGCACTCTCAAGTAATATTTGAAATCATTGCACACAACTGAATTGCGCTAAATAAGTGATGAAGGTGAACAAATCATCAATTTGGACATACTCTGTTTCATTTCTGACCAGGAAAGAAAAAAGGCACGAGACTGGTATTCTTGCAGCCACTAACGGTCTAAAATTTGTATAGCCGAACATAAATAAGTACAATTCTTAGATTTCTATTCAGTTGTTCTATGGTAAGCTTTTCTCTAATTTTATCAGCTGTACTAAATTATAAATATATAGCACAGCTACTTTGTCTGCAGATTGAAGAAGCTCCTGCTAGAATAAAAAAAATCAACAGCGATTAAATCTATACTTTTTACCACGAAAAGTTGTATTATTTATGAAACTTGATAAAGGAAAGGCAAAGACCGCGTGGCCTAATGGATAAGGCGTCCGACTTCGGATCGGAAGATTGAGGGTTCGAGTCCCTTCGCGGTCGTCCGTGGATTTTTTTTTTTGGTTCCGTTTCTGTAATATCGAAAAAAAAGAGCCGCGTCTTGTTGTTCATCATATCATTTTCGTCGTTCTCTCTTATTTGTCGCAGAACAACCATACCTACCGTCGCTACGCGACAGACGTGTATCTTTTTATACACGGTCCTGTGAAGGATTTCCACGAAATCACAAAAATGTTACCCAAGTTATGCCTACCCAAGTAATGCTTACCTACTTCTAATCTTATATCAAAAAAAGAGTACAGAACCTTTAAATCAGTCGTTACGTTTCGGTCCCATGGTGTAATGGTTAGCACTCGAGACTCTGAATCTCGGGATCCGAGTTCAAATATCGGTGGGACCTCGCCATTTTGTACCATTATGATTTATATTTTTTGAATTTCGGTTATGTGGTTAATACGAACGGACGATAACAGTCTTGAATGAACTTCGATAGTACCAACCTTGAATATCATGAAAACAATCTGAACTTTGAAGAATATACTGGCTGTCGCTCTGCCGTGGTCTGTTTCATGAGAAGCAAGCCGTTCATCGAGCCACATAAGGTTCATTATTTTATAAGATGTGAATTTAAACCATGGCTATTTCAGCACAGTGTTGTCTTCAGCACGGGAAAACTATCAGTACTTGCTTAATGAGGCTGCTTTTGTGTGACATCTCAAAAAAAATTCAAAGACAATCTAGGCCTGTAAAGAATAGGAGGGTCAAGGCAAGGTCAACAAAGAGTTGTTCATTTATGAAACTCAGCAAGTGAACGGAGGCCGCGTGGCCTAATGGATAAGGCGTCCGACTTCGGATCGGAAGATTGAGGGTTCGAGTCCCTTCGCGGTCGTCAGTGGAAACGAAAATTTTTTGTTCAGATTCTGCAATATCAAACAAGAATCCCATGTTGTTGGTAATTGTTTTATTTGTCGTTGAAAAATTTTGCCTACCTAGGCTGCATTGCTGATTTTACCATTTTAGTTTTACAGACCTGGAAAGTCTGTCCAGGAAATTACTAAAATTCAAATCTACACAGCAAGTAATGCTTACCTATTTGGCTGTTTCTAGTCTTGTCTAGTCTTTGGACAAAATCACAACAATGATAAGTTTGCCAACAAAAGTAGGTATATCGCCCTCTAGCCGTGAGTCTTGATGTCAACGGTTGATTCGTTCAATAAATATGGAACCCCCCCCCAAAAAAAAAAACCTTGTGAATAACCAAATATGTCAAAATATTTTTTTATAAACTGTGGAAATTAAACCATGGCTATTTCAGCGCAAAGCTGCCCTCAGCACCGGAAAACTATCGGCACGTGCTTAACACCAGCTGTTTACTGCACAGTTTAATATAGCACAGGGTGTTGAAAATTGAAAGGATAAAAACGGTTCCTAAATAATTTTTGTGTGGCCTCTCAGGTGGTACTAAAGACAGTCTAGACATGTATAGAATAGAAAGTTCTAACGGAGGCCGCGTGGCCTAATGGATAAGGCGTCCGACTTCGGATCGGAAGATTGGGGGTTCGAGTCCCTTCGCGGTCGTCAGTAGAAAGTTCTTTTTTTTTCCATATCTGCAATAACAAATAAGAGCCTACTTGTTGTCGTTCACTGTTTTATATTTAATCTACTCGACATTTAGTTGTAAGACAACCTGACCCACCTTACAAGAAATTAACAGTTACCTGTGTCACCAACAATTGCGCAGCAGCATGTTGTGAGTATACCGAGCAGAGAAGTTGATGTGTTTAATAGGAACGGACGGCAACAGTCTTGAATGAACGACAGTACCAACCCTCGATTACCATGAAAACAATCCGAACTTTGAAGAGCATCGGCCGTGGCTCTGCCTTTAGTCTGTTTTATTAGAAGTAAACCGTTAATCAGCCACATATCCGGATCATAATTTTATTAATGTGACTTTAAACCTTGGTTATTTCAGTATAGTTTATCTTCAGCACCGGAAAACTATCAGCTCAGAACCGACACTAAAATATAATCACGCGGTGGAACCACGTGGAGAATTTTATCACCACATGTGTTTCTAGGTCAATTACCCCCGCATGCCTGGACATGCACAAGATATAGGTCATTTACATGGTCCAGGATTGTTTACAACCTGTCTGAGCTCTGGTCGGCACGAGGAGTTGACATAAAGAGATCGGCGGCACAAAGGGTTGGCCACTAAGATCTCCCATTACTGCGCAAAGGCATTAGGCGCCATCTTGGCTGCTGTCTTTCAACATTCCCTACTCTCGAGTGGCTAGGATCTGGCCAAGGGGAGTCTACAGGCTTGTGGTGTATAGTAGGGGTGAGGATTACATAGAAGCTTGGCCTTATGGGCCCTTTGGAAAAAAATTATGACCATATTTGGAAAATGTGGAGAATTGTATCACCACGTGGCTTCTCCGACGGTTTTAAAAGACAGCCTAAAGGCCTGTATAAAAATGGATGGCTCAAAGCAAGGTCGACAAGATCGACTTCGGATCGGAAGATTGAGGCTCGACTCCTCTCGCGGTTGTCAGTAGATTTTTTTCCGTATTAGCAATATCAGACAAGAGCCCCTTGATGTCGCTTATTGGTTCTTATTTCTTTCGATCCAGATGTCTTCATTCGAACCACGTGTGTTCAAATTTAAAATACTAGTGAGGACACCTTTCCTATATAAAAACAACAGAAGTTATCCTTGAACAAAAACTTTAACAATAAGTCCTTGTTCGTGTACTTTTACAATCATTTGTCGGCATAATAACAGGCTTTTTTTTATAAATATCGACATGTCACAGCCATCCATACATTTAAGCATGAAAAGAAAGAAAAAACTTTAACAAAGACAAGCCATTTTGTCGGATAGTTTTCACGTCAAGGGAGATGATAAGCCCGGGTGACTCTTTTTTATCTTTTATTCTTTTCACGAAACAATTAATTGTTTCAGATGACCAAATAGGTAAAATCGAGTTATTCATTAGAACTTTATTTAAAGAAATCATTTCTTTTTAAACATTTGTTTATTGCTATCTACCTTTGCCATATGCCTAGCTATACAATGCACGTATTATTTAAAGTTACACGGTGAGACCTAATTTTTTTTTTTTTATATTTTTAACAAAAACAATTAGCGTTGTTGCATCTTAAAACTGTTACGTGTTGTCCTACGGGTGAAACAGCAATTAGTAATTATCACGTGCATTGCAAGTTTGCAGACTTGTTTTATGAGTGGGAAATCCTATATATTTTTTGTTTTAGTACGTTCGCTTATTAATTATTAACGAATCAGCAATAAACAGTTTCAGACAATAATTCTAAGTAAATACTCTTGAATTTGCGAAATCCTTCCTTTTTTAAAGAATATTTTAAGAAATATTTAAATCTTTGCAAATACTTACTAGCTTTGTTCTGGCATTCTAAAAAGTGCATCTGGACTGATACTAAAAAGCTGTGTCTGCCCCTGTACATTTAGTGCCTGGTGCGCCCTCTAGTTGGGAAGTGGTGCACAACGTGCCCCTTCCCTGTCCCGGAAATACAAGAAAAGCCCTGGTCTTGGTAGGGTTAACACAGTAATGCCTGCAATTGCCATTTTCTCAGCAAAAAGAAGTATTTGTTTCGTTCGAGACTTTTCTACTAATGGACAATATAGGCCTACTATTTGAAAACCAGCCCCTCTTTTGCAGAGCTACCACAAAGGGTGTTTTAGGTTCACGTTGTTAGGGGGGGGGGGGGCTAAGGGGATGCGCATTCATTGGCAAACTAAATTTGAGATAAAATCATGCCTCCCTAGACTGTATTTCTTATTTCTATGTTTTAGGTTTGTTGAATTGGCGGCAGAGAGTGCGAGTGATTTAAAATTACAACCTATGCAATTGTCTAAGCAGTCTGCTAGGTGTTGATCGAAACCAACGCAGGGCACATGGGAGTGTCATGATGTTTTTCTGGAGGGTGAGGGGAGCAAATCTCTGGTCGTGGAAAAATCGAAAGGGGAAGGGGTGCTAGACATCACTCGACGCTTTGTTCAAGACCACGATGCCTAGGCATTATTGACATATCGCCATTTGTGAGTTAGACAACCCCATGTAATGTCTGTACACTAAATTTTGTTTGTCTCAGATTTTTCGCGTTCCACGTCCATTTGTATGGAGTACCCATAGATATGGGAGTACCAAAGTGAAAACATCACGCGCACAAAATTTGTGTAAAAGACAACAGCGCGTGATTCAGCCCGAGAAGCAACACGCGCATGTACTCCATTCGTTTGCACTTATTTTTTGGTTCTAAAATGACGTCACACTCCCTATCATGTAATTGGACTGTAATTTCACAAACTGCGTTTGCGCGATTCTAACGCGATTCTACCGCGACAGGTCAATTGTATGGGCTCCGTGCGCCGACAAAGAGGGCGCCCTTTTACCTAGCAACGACGTCCCAAGGGCGGGACATTTCGCTGGTTGACGCGCACCGTTCCTTGTGTGTGACACACGTACACCAGGGGATTTGTACTATTTACACGCAGTGGCCGCACTTATCGCGGCAAATGAATTGCAGTCAGGCAAGATGGCGTCAGTCGGTCACCCCTAACTATACTCTCTTTGCCGGTGTGGGGGTACTTGTGAACAGAGCAGATACACCCATATTACAGGTTCCTTTCAGCCAGTATCGAGTATTAAATTAAATATACATTAATAAAACATTGACTTTGCACGTCGTCTTTTTTTGGGGGGGGGGCGTTTCCCCCCCCCCCTTGCCACCCCCATCTCGCGACGCCCATAGTAGGTCACCTTCTGTCATATTTTTACGGGCTTGGGTATTTGGTGCTGCATTTCAGGCCATCTAATTTGAACACAATCTGGCCGGACGGAGGCGTCACTTGCTCGAAGTGTAGCGCCGCCACCGGCAGCCGGCCCAAGTCGTTAAGCCGTCCTTCATCGGAATCCCAGGTGTCGGGCACGCCCCCACAGTTGCATCTTGATCCCAGATCGCTCCCAGCGCAATCTGTAAACAATACAATGAGATTGATCTAAGTAATGGGAGTGATAACTTATCGCTATCAACGCGAGTGGATCCGGGGGGAGGCAACGGGGGCCCCGTTGGCAGTCATTGCGTACGTACCACAAGACTCAACAAAATCAATTCATTTGTACCCTATCCCCTTATTTTTTTTTTTTTCATATTAAGTTTGGGGCTGAAAATGTTTGAATGTACTTTTCAGGGACAAAAAATACTGTTTCGCCCCTCCCCCCAAAAAGACCAGACGTATTAGAGTTAATTGTGAGTGAATTGGTCGATCTGTAAGATTAGACCTTTTGGTATAGTGGACAGATATAGGGCAAATATTTCGGGATTGTTTACCTGGATGATAAAAGCATGGCATTTGGCATGCAGTCAGAGCACCTCTAACGAAAGATATTTAGCTATAGAGCAATCGCAGATTTTGTCCTTTGAAATAATATAGGTAGAACAACAAGCAGTTTTCATTTTTCAAAATGGCTGCCCTTGCTTGTTATTCAAACAATACTTTTTCAAAGGACAACTATGCGTTGTCCCGATAGCTATATACATGTATCTTTCGTGAAACCGTGCATGCTATGAAAGTTCTTTTCCCTTCCAGACTTGAACATCAAAAGGGTAGGGAATATACATCATTTGCTTTTGCTGTAATTTTCAGAAATGGATGGAGTTGGGGGGTTGGAAATATATAGCAAATATAGTTACACTGACCTTTTTTAGGTTTTGAGTTCGAAAATGCTGTAAAAACCAAGAAAAACAATCAGTTTCCTGTAGTCTGGTTCTTTGATTCCATATAAGAAGAAACAAAGCAGTTTACATACATTGGGGAATTGTAAGGTCAGGGAACCAGTCTAGCTGGCTTGTACCCGTTCATAGATGTGTAATCGATTGCAAACAAGTGCGATGGTCAATTTGGGCCAGATTTTGAAGAAAAAAAAAACAGTTTTTTTCCAACGCTGGTCGGCCGACCAGCGTTGGAAATTGATACAAAAATGCCACTTTTCTTGAAAATGACAGTATACCAGGTGCCATGATTTTACAGGATGCTTTACACTGTCATTCACTAACAGTCCAGCAAGGTATTTCAAAATGATTTGGCAGTTTTATTTTGTGATATTTGCAAATGTTGTATTTTCCCTTTAAGCTGTGTAATCTGAACTTAGGCCAAGAGCAAGTCAATGAAAACAAGTGCTGGACAACAAATTCGCTCGTATCCCCCGCCCTACAAACAGGGCGCTGGTAAGGACCGATGAGCTTCACAGAATCTTGTGAAGGAAGTACATATTGACCTTCGCATCAGGCGCGGTTCTAGAACCAATATTTGGGGGGGGGGGGGGCTAGCAGGGTGGATCCAGAATTTGTTCAGGGAGGCGTGCTGAAATGTAGACGGGTAATTTTCTCCAGACACTTAGGCCTCCGAAAATCACTAGGTGGGGGGGGGGCACACTATATTAACTACAAATGCATTTTTTTCAATGGGGAGCGCCAATAAAATCCTTAAATCATTCACACTATATTAACTACAAATGCACCCTTGTCAGGACTATTTCTTTAGGGGGAGTCCTTTCGCATGTACATCACAATCCTTCTTTTTGCTAAAGCAAAATCTTTTTACGGAATTTATTTTTTTTGGGGGGGGGGGCTAGACAAAATTTGGGGGGATAAAGCCCCCCCCTAGCCCCCCCCCCCCCCCCCCCCCCCCCCCTAGAACCGCGCCTGCTTCGCATGCAGCTAGCACGCGCTACGCATGGTGGGCACGGGAAGCTAGTTTGTGTGACGCGTTCTACGTCACAGGTCACGCAAAATCTGTCCAATGAGAGCTCAAATGACGTCAGTCCTTACCAGCGTCCTGTTTGCAGGGTGGGGTACGAGCGAAGACAATAAAGTGGGGATGACGGCTGGACAGTGAAACTTACTTCCAGCTGGGGGGCATGGGCATCCACTGTTCCCCGTAGGGGCACCGCCCCAGTTGGTCATCTGTTCACCTTGGTTGGGCACCCACCACGCTAACTGGGTATCACCGTCCCACAACTTGGCGTTCTTACACTCGGCCGTCAAGTATTGCCAGCAAGCCAATGAATGTTCGATCAGAGCTTCGATCTAAAGGAAGATAACGTCAATCGCTATGAAAATCCAACAAAAGAAATACGGTGCAGTATCAATGTACTCCCGTTGTTAGTGCACTGCATTTCTTTTGTTAGATGTTCATAGTGAAAGTGATTGTTACAATAGTGCGGCAGATGGAGGAAATATTGCAAAAACTTCCAATAAGATCAAATAAAACTCTGGGGGGAAAAAATAATGAAAACATGTTTTGATGATCTACAATCTCTTCTAACTATTGTAATTCTCTGCTTTTTATGTACGGATCTGCGCGTTGTGGGGCCTTTTAGGGAGCTTCAAAATGGCAGCCGCGCTTGTGCGTGGTAGGTACAACAGATAGATTATTATAGCTGTAAACAAGACATTTTTGACGTCGTTTTTTACTATTGGACAGTATTACAAAATCATGCAGTTTGCTGCCACCAAGAGTACAAACTTGTACAGCTCACCTGTTTCTGATTGGCGAAGTAGCTTATAGTAACTTCGAAAGGATCTGACGTCACATTTAGTGACTGGCCTGATGTAGTGTGATCCACCGTTGTCCATCCATAGCCAATCCCTAAAAAGACAAGCACGAGCACAATATACCATTATCAAGTTGCAGCCATCTTGATTTTTCTCATTTAAATCAGGGCATCCAAAGCTAGGCTGACAGGGTAAATGGTCCGGTTTCTTTTTGGTTTCTTTTTGCACAAACAATATTATCATTCAATACTGTTATTGGACACAGGGAACTTGACTGAAATGGTGGCAGCCTGATAAATCGACCTTTAATAACAACGTCTGAAAAACAGCCAACCCTTTTTGTAGTTTTTTGGTGCAAGTCACTTGTTAGGCAATATCACAGACTGCAGCTAAAATGTGTGTGCATGGGACTATATCAATCTAACTCAAAGGCGAACGAATTTTATGATGCCAAAAAGTGGTAGTCGCAGTGATGAACTTGCTTCCCCCAATTTTTATAAAATATACCTAGGCATGATGGATTTTCTTCATAAGCTTGCTCAGTTCCCAGTGAATTTTGTGACCCATATACAACAGATAAGTTGAACTTTTCTGTTTAGAGGACATGGCATGAAGCCACCGAAATTCTGCCTTAAGATTACATTTTCATTGTAAAGGCCTAAATAAATCATACACTGACGACTGTTTCTTACCTGTCATGCTTGAGCACAATACACGGAACGGCTCTTCCCCGCTCAATGCCCCATCAGGATCAATCATGTAATAGCCGTCGATTGTGAAGCCAGCATGTTTGAGCGCAGAGCAACTTTCTCGTATAGGATCTAGGCACAAACAGATCAAATGCATCGAGCGGTAATGAATGTTGAAATACCAATGTCTTTATGATCCTTTAGGAAGATTGTAAACTATGTGTTTGTTTTACCTGTTGGGATTACTGTAGTAACTGTCTCTGTGGTCGGTTCCGTTGTAGTCGGTTCGGTTGTAGTCGGTTCCGTTGTAGTTGGTTCCGTTGTAGTTGGTTCCTTTGTGGTCGGTTCCGCTGTAGTCGGTTCCACTGTGGTTGGTTTCCTTGTGGTCGGTTCCGTTGTTGTCAATTTGGTTGTGGTTGTGGTCGGTTCAGTTGTGGTCGGTTCCCATGTAGTCGGTTCCGTTGTGGTTGGTTCCCTTGTGGTCGGTTCCGTTGTTGTCGATTCCATTGTGGTCGGTTCCGTTGTGGTCGGTTCCGTTGTGGTCGGTTCCGTTGAAGTCGGTTCCGTTGAAGTCGGTTCCGATGTAGTTGAGTCCATTGTAGTTGGTTCCGTTGCACTCAGTTGAGTTGTGGTCGCTTCCGTTGTACTCAACTCCGATGTAGTTGGTTCCGTTGTAATTGGTTCCGTTGTAGTCAGTTCGGTTGTGGTCGGATTCGTTGAAATCGGTTCTGTTGAAGTCGATCCCGTTGTTGTGGGTTCTGTTGTAGTTGGTTCCGTTGAAGCTGGTTCAGTTATAGTAGGTTTCGTGGAAGTCGGTGCCGCTGTAGTCGGTTCCGTTGTACTTGGTTCCATTGTAGTTGATTCGGTTTCAATTGTTGATATGTCCGCTGTCGGCAGCCCAATGGTGGTTATTTGATCTGTTGGATTCTCAATCTGTTGATTCTTCAACAAAGAGTAAGACGGGCAATCAGTTTTAGCGTTCACTTTCCTTGTTTAAATTTAGTACCTTTTTCTGTTCAGGAAATCAGGTTTGACGGGTTTGGGTTATATACTGGGAATCATGTTTCGTTCATATTCGTTTTAATTTTTGGTAGTAAACTATAAGGTTGAAATTACACATGTGTATTTAGATTAATTAATCAAGTTAGTGTATTATTTAATTAATCGAGCTTAAACAGTATCTCACCATAATTTCGTAGTACTTGAAGCGGGCATCTGCCTCCAACTTGTCCGGGTGGTTACGGCTCGTGTTCCGGTTCAGCTCGCAGAGGCGCAGGTCCTTCGCGTAGTTGAACGAAACGCAGCGGGAATGCTTGGCACAGAGAGTCGAGCATCGTACGGCCGAACTAACGGCCAATTTCTCGCTGAAAGCGCTCCCTGCCAGTCGGGTGTTCACCTGCATCGTAAAAAGGTGGTGTACACCTTTTACGTCGCACGAAATGTAGCGGATACTCGCGAAAAAGTACAAGAGTCCTGTTAATAATATTGGGATCCGAGCCATATTTGCATGCACAAGCGATAGCAGCGATAACTGTCACATTGTTTTTGAAATGTCTTAGATCATAAATCACAGCTTGTTTGCAATGGTACTAGGCCTATATAGCGCCTGTGTGAAATAAAATTATGTTAAGCATCACTGCGAACATTGTTTTTTCGCCCACCATGTTTTTCTTTCTGGGAAAACACCTCAACAAATTTGGTTGGTCTTAACAAATAACTGATAGAAATTTCGGAAAGTAAAGGAAATTATGATTTAAATTTTGCCCAGTAACAGTAATACACTTGCTTGCCAATTTTCTCTTTAATTAATGCAGTTCCAAATGTAGTCGTGCAGTGTACTTTTGTATGTTGGTCTCTTAATTTGTTTTTTTATTAGAACTATTGTAAACCCACATCGCATGGCAAATAATATTTGAGTTATGTTGCAGGTATTTGTCATTGAATATCGGCACAAGACAAATTAATAAACATCGTTTTAAACTGGAAGATGCAAGACAACATGTTTAATATTCTAAATGGCCAATTTACAAGTACCGAACCCTCTCCGTTAATCCAAGTCGCCTTCAGTGTCCCTGCGTTAAGGTTAAGGGATAATTACTTTGCCTTTGGTCCATTGATTTCCCCTTACACCACGGAGTTAAGTGTCCTCTTCTTCTTGTCCGTGCGTTTACTGCTGGAATATGCCATCCTCTCTATCCGGTTCCTTAGTGTGGCGTCATTTAAACTCAGCGATGCTACTTACATAGCACGAATGGAACCGGAAAATTACGCAACTTTCGTGTTTAGCCAATGGACGCTAGTAATCAGTGGTGCGCGCGCGTGCATGACGTTTTGATTAATGATTCGGATTAAACCGATCTATTAAGCCCCACCCAATGGGGCTTTGACAATCAAAGTCGTGACTGACATAAGATCTGGACTAAGACATTTAAACAATGCATTCTCCAAAACCAGCCACACATTTTTGCCATATTAAGTAGCCTAAATCCTGCAAAATACTCCATTCTGCAAAAAGCATTTTGGAGGATTTGGGAAGGTTAAGGTTAATAAATCGTGTGTGTTTTTTTTTACCGTTTTCTAATGTTTAAGGCCTATCTGAAAGCAAAACTGAAATCAGAAAAAACCGCCTTCAGATATTACTTCAATTTTGTTTTATTTTTCTGATTAATTACATTTCTGCCATGCAAGAGAACTCACTCGGCCCAATTACAAGATTCGGAACAATACTTACAACTCTCACTCCACAATTGATAACTTGAACTCACACAAAAATGACTTTTATTAGACCACCAATTCACTAAAACTACACATTCATATTACAATATAAACAAAATGCGCGATAACATCATATTTACTATAGACCTTATTCACGATGAGGCCAGTTTTGGTCGTGGTCTCTGCATTTTATTACGCGATTTTCTCGCGCGATAATGTCGAGCGTATTTATATACATTTATATTAATATTCATTTCCATTCGCAAGTTCCAAATGAATATTTTAACCTCACTTTAATTAATGTTCAACCGGTGAAAGGCCTATTAGGACTAGTAGTGTCAAAGCAGATACTTCTACATGTAAAAAGGCTCAGTCTAAAAGCAAACCTTGATTTAAAAACCAAGGGCCAACTCCCGGCCCACGCATCTGCTCGTTAATGTTGTTATGATTGGACAACTTTGTCCTTTGACTACAATCAATGATTGTATCCTTGTTTGAAAGTCAATATTAATCAGTTGCTCAATCGAAGGGAGGTCATTGCAATAACCAGGGCTACACGTGTTTCGATTAAACATCTCATGTAGGAAATACACAAATATAGCCTCTATCTCATTAATTGTTTTTTTTTCAGTGTCCAGGCCGTCGAGTGTTTTTGTCTATTGTTCTTCAAATAATCTTCAGGCCGGATGACGAAAACAAACGGGTGTTTTATTTTTTTAAGAATCTTGTCCTTACTCTCCCTGGAAAGCAGTACCTTTTGTTATTCCTTACGACTGTTTCAATTTCTAATATGATTTCAATACCATAGCTGCTAACAGCTCAAGCTTCTTTGCCTCTGCTACTTTAATTCAAATAAGTGTCAGTCTTAACGGCCAGAACAAAGCTGATTACGCACCTTGTCCTTACATTGTCAATGAAACATTATTTTGTAGCACGATATGGGACAGAGGGAAATCCCCCCTTTGTGTTGGTCGTTGTGTTACCAGAATCTCAGGAATTCTTTGAGATATCTAGGTGGATGTGTTAGGTAACAGTAGGGTGTGCATAGGGTATAGGGAGATTGGGGGTACCCCTCTGTGCCATATCGTGCTGGGTATACACCGGAAAGTGGCCTAATTTCTGTATATTCAGTAAATTCTTCCTTAACAGATTAAAACGTACCTTTTCAATTTCTTGGTATCTGTTACAATTTCAGTATAATACTACCGCGTTTTTGGTGAATGTTACATCACATTAATTGACACCGAATGCTCACCCACTCCGAAAAAAAAGTTTGTCACGGTTCGTTTTGTATATGGAACTAATTATTTCGAAGTGTGGAACTGATTATTTTGTAGTAGCATTGTGGACCTTTTAAGTCTCAGAAACACAGTTGACCTGGACAGATTTCAAAGTATGCCAACAATAAATAAGGGGGGGAACAAGAAAAAGACAGTGTAGTACACTGTAGAGCGAAATGTGTACTATCGCTATTTTGTTTTGTGTGCTTAAATCACTAATAGAGTTCGGAATGCAACACTGTCCGGATGCATTTCACTTTCACTCTCAATTCATATCAGACACAGTTGTAGCGCACTGCAACCCTCCCAACTTGTAGTACAGCTCCTTTGGGGGCGCTGCCTGGTCGAAGTGAAGCGCCCTCACCGGTAACCAAGCTTTAGTATTGAGGTTTCCCCCATCCGAATGCCAGTGATCGGCGGATGCACCGCAGTTGCATCTAGAGGTCGGGTCACTACCAGCGCAGGCTGGAAAAAAAACAGTCAATCGTATTTTATAATCACATTTGTTGGTCCACCCAAGATGTTATCCCAATACCTGTAATGTTTACCAAGTTCTTTGAAAGGAGTATCAATGTAATGAATATCAGTTCACCAGCCACATTGTCTGGTTCCAGAGCCGAAAGATTCTGACCATTCTGAAGAATCTCACGGTAGCAATTTCCCACAAGCGCTAGCCACTGCAAACCAAGACTCCACCATTTTCTCAATCCACAAATCCATTGATCCCTCAGTCCTCAAATTACAAATCACTGACAGTAAGGCTTAAGTCCCGTACATAAACTGAATGCACTTACCTCCGTCACGGTGGCACTTGCAGCCTCGCTGCCCCGCCCCAGTTAGGCATCCGGGTCCCGTCTCTAGCCACCCACCAAGCCAGCTGCGTCTCGCCCATCCACAGATGAGCGTTCCTACATTCAGCATTTAGGTGTTGACGGCAGCCGCTGGAGATATCGATGAGTGCCTTGGTCTGGCGGTAGATGGCAAACAACACAGTCAAGACATTACTTGGTACTTGGTACTAGGTGGTTTCCCTCTTCAAAACTCCGCAAAGAAGTCTAACTAAGAGGCTTGGAGAGTGGCAAATTTAACTACATGAGGGGTTCGAATTGATTGTGGTTTGGGGCATTGATGGCATCTTGGGGTACTTTGTTCCATTTTCTGACAGTTCTTGGTAGGAACGTTTGCATGTAGACATTTGTTCTTGCGTTGATTTCATTCACTTGGCAGTTGTTTCGCCTCCTTTGTCTGATACTCTCTGGTTGCAGTGCATCTGGTTGAATGTTTACTGTGTTATTGATGACCTTGCATAAAAGTACTAGTTGGTTTGATGTGCGTTACGCTGCTTCACAAAAAAAAAAGTGAGTAATTTGACTCAATATCGTAACAATTGAGTCATTTTGTCCGTATAGTGAGACACTTTGAGCTAAAGTGTGTCACTACACGGACAAAATGACTCATTTGTACGATAATGAGTCGAATTACTCACTTTGTGTTTTCTGTGTTCTTCTCGAAAAAATCCTTGCAGACGAAACGTGCAGCTCGCCTCTGAACTCTTTCAAGCAAAGAGATGTTTTTGACATAACTCACTCACTGAAATTCTAAGATTTCAGGAGCGACTCTGCAAACATATTAGTTTTGTGCTTGGAATGCTTTAAAAACCCACAAATTTGCTGCACTTACCTGATTGGCATTGGCGTAATACGCAATAGTAACATCGTAGGGGTCAGATGTCACCCTCTTTACCTCTTCGGAGTCAGGGTGCTCAACAGTAGTCAGTCCAATACCTGAAGATCAACACAAATCCTTTCAATTGCGAAGAGAAGTAAATGTCCCATCGGGTTCAAGGAATTTTCACTTTCTTTTTTTTTTATCTTTTTTATTGTTACTTTTTTTGCGGAACCGTCCTTTATAACAACGCTTGCTAGCTTAAGTTACTCTATGTGCAGTTCTTAATAGTTGCAATTTCATATCGAAGTAACTGTGAAATGGAAATATGTTGCGATTTAGATGTATTTCCTAAACACCCTGAATTTGGAGGTAATGACAAAACCTCATTTCTATGAACGCCGTCCTGTCACATGACAATTAAAAATCCGTGTTGATAACAACCAATGCCCAACCAACCAACCCAAGAAACAAAAAACTAAGTTACTGTTTATTCACTGAATAATCATATGATCATGTGAAAATAGCAAACTCGTTAGTTGTATCAAATTGACATTGCGTCCAGTGAACGGTCTTGATGTGCAACATTAGGACACTCATTTTCGTGAGAACCTGTCAAACCCTTAATTAAAACGACCGTAACAAATGTAGTGTTAATTTTATGTCAAGAATGATACTCTGATGCTATGTAGTTCACGAAATATACAACTGTTAAAAGGGTTAGGCATAAAACAAGTTTGAAACGTACTCGTCATTTCTGAGCAGTGCACCTGAAACGCTTCTTCACCGTTGTTTTCCCCGTCGGGATCAATCAGGTAAGAGCCGTCGGATGTGTGCCCATGCTCTTTGAGCGCCGAGCAGGATTGCAAGATAGGATCTAGGAACGGACAAACAATTATTTTATACATTTGAGGAATCGCTTACGTAGAAATCCAATGGCACCAGATTTTGAAAGACTGCATTTTTATTTTACGTCTTACTTAGTATTTATACTCATGGGTAATGTAAACGAACTTGATTTTATCCATTTTCATTTTTCTCGGTCATAAGTAAGTTAAATAGCCTCTTTATTTTTACCTGGAACGATTGTCGTGAAAGAAACCTGAGTAGTTGGTTCTCCAGTAGTTGCAGGTTCCGTGGTTTCTTCCTTCGAAGTAGGTGAGGCAGTGGTAAGTTCTTGTGTAGATACCACATGTTTCTGTGTAGTAGATTCCGTGGTTACTGGTTCCGTGGTAGGTTCCATGGTAGTTGGTTCCTCAGAAGTTGGTTCCTCAGTAGTTGGTTCCTCAGTAGTTGGTTTTTTCGAAGTAGGAACCATTGTAGTCGGTTCCTCAGTAGTTTGCGTTTGTGAAATCGGTTCATTCGTTTTAGGTTCAATTGAAGTCGCTGCCTTAGTTATTGGTTTTTGTGTGGTGAAAACCGCAGTAGTTTGCCCCTTAGCAGTTGGTACCTGTGTAGTGGACACCGTAGTAGTTGGTACCGTATATGTTGGTTCCGGTGTGCTTGACGGAACTTTGGTAGGAGTTGGTTCCTTTGTCTTCTTCTTTGGCTCTTTGGTTGACAGTGTCGATTCCTCGCTGTGAGAATTTGTTGCTTCAGTATGCTGGGTTTCACTTTCAACTCGATTCTGGGGTGGGTTTACAAGCAATCATTCCCATTTTTTACTATACAAGTGTGTTGTCACTTTTTTTTAATAATTGATATTTTTGCTCCTGCCCCAAATTATTCAGTTTCCCTTTTCGGACATTTCTTTTCCCTTTCTTTTTCTCTACGTTATGCGATATAAAACTCACCATGATTTCGTAGTACTTGAAGCGGGCATCCTGTTGCAACTTGTCCGGGTGGTTACGGCTCGAGTTCCGGTTCATCTCACATAGGCCCAGGCCCTTCGCGTAATTGAACGAGACGCAGCGGGATTGCTTGGCACAGAGAGCCGAGCATCGTACGGCCGAATTGACCACCGATTTCTCGCGAAAAGCGCTCCCCGCCAGCCTGGTGCTCGCCTGCATCATAAACTGGTGTTGCCGGAGTTTTCTGTCGCCGCTCGAAAAACTACACATAATGAGGACGCACAAGACTGGAGCGAAACACTTGCCTACTTGGCCAGTCATCTTGGAGCTAACAGTTCAATGAAAACCTTTAAACCGCAAGAGCCGTAATGAAAGATCGCTGTGCGGCATAACGATGATGTTATTTGTTCGTGTCGAATTTCAGATCCAAGAATGTCCTATACGCACAATGCTTTAATTACTTTTAAAGGTATCGCCAATTGCTATACGCTGCATAAATGTCATGGACGGTTTTATAAATGAAGTGAAAACTGCTCGTCGTCAGCAAGAGAAAATAATAACCCAAGGTAATGTCAATGTTGTAATTATCCATTCAGAGACCAAAAAGTGTACTGCTCTCTCAACATCCGATGACTATTTAGGCCTTCATGTATAGATTTTCTGATGAATGGTTCGTTAACTTGTATGGTCCTCTCAAAGTCACTCAATCTGGTGCTAATTGAATATGTTGGTCTTGTGATTGAAAAATCAATGCCAAGCCAGCCCTTGATGGCAAATTAGTAATTTTGATGTATAAAATAACGATTTGGGTATGAGCAATGAGAGTACACTTGAATATGAATTTGACCATGACTAACTCACGGTAATTGGGAAGGTGGTATTTGCCCATTAGAATATTTCATTACCATTTGAAAGCACCGTGGTTTTGTTTTGCAACCAAATATTTGACCTAAAATGCATGCATGAAACACGTCATGTGCTTAAAATCACATGATTTCCTTTCACTTCATGGCTCTGGGGGATTTCCAAGAACCTTTCCGTTAACAACTAACTCATGTGCATTAAAATCAGGGGGGAAAAGAACTTGTAACAACCATTTGGCATTGCATGATGTCATCTTCGCTCGTACCCCCCACCCTGCAAACAGGACGCTGGGATACTCTGATGAGCTTCACAGAATCTTGTGCAGGAAGTGGCCTATGACCTATGTATAAAGCATATGGCTGCAGCTGTTCAAGACCGCAGTTAGACAATGTGCGCAAATGGTATCCGAAAACATCCCATAGAATTGCGCACATTCCATACCGGATGTGATTTCTGTTTCATTGCGGACCATGTGGACAAAATTGTTAGCGTCGCACAATGCAATCCGACCGTTCGTTATTCGAAACGGAGCCTGAGCGAGTGACAGGAATTGTAAATGTACAACACAGATACATTTTACAGAATTTCCTACATTATTACGCTTTTCAACAAGGAAACACATCTCTAAACTGGAATAAAAGAGTAATTAATCAGCCTTAACGGCCGTTTTAAACCTTGCAGAGGTCATGACCTTGATGACGCGCAGGTCACTGGTCAGGCAAAATCCAACCAATCAGAGCGTGAATTCATCAGAGTATCCCAGCGTCCTGTTTGCAAGGCGGAGATGTCATCTAGAAACCATTATGATCACACGAGGGCGTCCTATCTATGAACCATCATTTCGCTACAAAACAGGAACCGTATTAAACATGCATAAAGTCACCCGTCTGTTAATGATATCGGCAGCGCCATCTCATAAGGCGATGGCGACGAGCAAATTATAGGACTGGATACCATCTGACACTGGATGTCGCTATTCATCTGCCCTGATATGAAAGTGGTACATGGAATATCCTCTTGCACAGCAAGGGTCTATGATGTGAGCAGATTCGGCAATAGATAATGCAAAAAAAGACTACGTCTTGATCCCGAGATTGTCAGCGGACGCCTTCTATTTGCCTTCCGTAACCCGTTGTGATATTGTATATAATTATTATCCTTACAGTGTATTAAAATTCCCATAGACACAAGTGCTAAATGCCCATACTACTGAATTCTTTTTAAAATACTCAGAACTCTCACATGCAGTGGCGCACCCGGGGGGCCCCTCGGGGGGCGCTTGAGCCCCCCCCCCCCCCAAAAAAAAGGTTAGCATTTTTTTTTTTGAGTTCCACGATTTGGCCATAGTGATATGAATGTGGCCTGTTTTTGAGTAGTTAAATAGTTAATAAGTGGCGCCACCAACGTAAAAAAAGGCTGCTCCTCAAAAAAAAAAAATTCTGCGGCCTAAATTTTTGGGCAAAATTGTTTTAAATCCTGGGTGTGCCACTGCTCACATGTATTTAAGCTGCACAGAGAAATGACGATCAATATGTCAGCTGTTATTTTATTTTGAAATTTTGGTGGGTTAACCATTGACTTTTCGAGAAATTCTCCCCCAAAGAAGGGCAAAACCTAATTTGATCGTACTTTGCAATGTTTTTTTTAATGTTTTTTGCTTCTCATAACAACTTATTTTTCATTATGTTTCATTCAAGGAAAATAACTGTTCTCGTTCATTGACAAGGTTGTACTACTCGGTGAATTTTCTTTAATCAAGTACAACTTTACATTCATGCTTATGCCAATACAATAAATTCCACCTTGCAACTGGTGCAATGTATTTAAAAAAAAAAAAAAAGTCTGTTGCAGGACAACATTTTCCTATAAATCTCGTTCGGAAAAGAAAACTGTAATTTTAAAAATGCATGTATATACAAACTTCAATATGAGTCTCCTTTGAAGTCTTTCAAATTTTGAAGCCTTTAATATTATTTTAATACTCGGAAATCGACAGTTTCTAGTCGAGTTAGCAACGATATTTCATGATATCAGCATCAGTTGGATGAACTACGTAAGCAATCGCGATCATTGGCGGATCCAAAAAACAGTCGGGGCCATGCCCCCCCCCCCCACGCCCACATTTGTTTTTCATCGGAGTAAAATTGCCTTTTTGTCTTAACTTTTCAGAAACTAAATTAAAACGTTTCGTGTCTCCGTCGCAAGCAATCAGCTTCACCTTTTAGTTTTGATAATGTGGAGATAGCGCTAGATATTATATACTTAATTCCCATCCCTAAAAAAAATGTATGTTGCCGAGCCTTCTTGGCCCCTGTAAATACGGTTGTGGATCTGCCATTGATCACGATGTGAAATTGTAACAATAGACAGTTCTGACTTGTTGCGAGATTCAGGGTTCGTCGTTGCGAAGTTCGCGAGTCTCATTCAAGGGTGAATGCGGCCATCATCACCCAAGACGTAGCAGGACGTAGCGGGGAGAACCCGGGTCGGCTCTGCTTCGATAGGGATGCTGCTAGTCTCGCACACAATCGGGCATGTATTGTGACACTGGATGTCATTCCATCCGCCAATGTCTCTCATCGACAAACAGTGCTCACCGTCGATGTAATAGTTGTCAGGCTGGCCGGGAACCCAGTTCATGTACTTCATTTCCTCGACGCCTGCTGCGGAGTAACACACCCAGTGGTCTTCCAGAGCTTCATCGCTACATCCCAGCCAAGCGCGTGTCCATCCTCCGCTTGCTGTTAGCTCCTCGTGGACGAAGGCGTTTTCCTCGGGTGATTCTATCACCAACATCTCCCAACCGCGTTCCTCGCAGTACGCCTTAGCGTCCGCCCAGGTCATTGCGGTGTAAGTGTGGTAGCATCGTGATCTGTACTCTACCCAGTTCGGGGGACAGACCGCGTTCACGGTCCGCAAAAACAAGACAGCTAAAATGAATCCAGATAGTTTCGAAACAGCCATTGTCGACGATACAATCAGCACAAATTCCAATTTAATCAACAATTCATGCAACAATCAACATCACTGCCAACGTCACTCGTTTCCAAAAACAAACTGAGACCATAATTTTACAGCAACCACTAAATCGTTCGGTGCCTGTGTTCCAGTTCATTTCCAAATAAAAAGCCAATTTTACGTAATGGCTTGTTGATGCCTACTGCGTGGAGGCTTATTTTCCAGTGCTGACAATTTCAAACCATTGTTCTCCTCACTGATCCCACTCTCTGGGTGCAAAGTGGTGCTCACTGCTTAACCTTTCAGAAACACCAATTAGATCCAGTTCATCATCACATCCTTCGCCTGATGTGGCTATTTATTGGGCGGTTTTCCCCTCCTACCAGTGGTTTAAGTGCCTAAAAATTAGTTTCGCACGAATGCTTTTTCTACTCGACCTTGTTCGATTATTGATGAGGACTGTGGCACGCTCGAAAGAGCTTTGAAAACCTCTTTATTTTATTATGCAGCGCTTATGCTATTATAGTTAGCACGGAAATTGCAACTCGATATTACCAGGGGGACTGTTTACAGTGTGAAGTCTTACAATATCGAAGATGAAACTGAAACAAAAATGGTGCAAACTTGTTGTCATTCTACCGACGATTTGGACTAAAAGATCTAGCTAACAAAATCTTTATTTAAAAAAATATAACAATAAAGAAAAAACAGCGAGGAACTTCGGAATTTAGTTTATTATAATTATTTTGAAATTATTTTCACTTTCTTTAATTCAGAGCCGTGCGACCCACCAATTATGGGGTTTTGCCATGCTCACCACTACGGGCACCGCATTTGATTTACAAATCTACGCGGTACGTATATCCGCGTGTGGTTGGCAATGAGAAAACTCCATTGAAAACATCATGGGTTGGAAAAAAATCACATGTATATTCAAGCAAGCCTTTCTAATTGACTCACTTTTTTATCTTTAACACTGACGAGAAGAGATGGGTAAACGCGTGATATAGCGAAAAATAGACTTGAATTGTATTCGGGTTTTGCTCGCCCGCCGCAATGCGGTACGTATAGTGTGTAGTGTGGCACTTACATACGGCGGCGGTGTGTGCAAACTCGACACAAAAAATGTGTGTACGTTGACTCCAGTTACCGACTTGAATAACTTCTAGGCCTCATTGACTTGCCAATACACTTTGACGGAGCTGTCTGATTGGTTAAGAATCAAAAGAATCTAATAGAAATACCTTCGTACACGTGAAGTGTACATACACGTCAACCTCGTCCTCAGGGCTTACTTTATTTTCAACCTCGTTTTAAACAGGAAGCCCCCAGCAAACAACGTTATAACGCGACGTCGTTGTGTGTGTGTTGCTAAGACGTTTGTGTACAACGTCGCAGCAACGAAATTGTGTGGAGTTTTTTTTTTCCAACCGTCGTTAGGACGTTTTTCATGACGTCGTTAAGCAACGCTCTTATGATGTTTTTTAAAAACGTCGTTTTGTTGACTAATATTGTCCAAATGGCCTTACGTAGCGATAGGTACGTACCGGTGCCCGCTTTTCATCAATTTTTCATCCGTCAGCAAAGAAAATAACGACAATCTCAGTTCTGAGCGATGATAAGAGTCAGCTAAAAAGCACTGTACCATTTCTAAAGTCTTATTTATTCTTATATAACTTTAAAATGTTCACCCAAATCGTCCGTCCATATCCTGTGGTAGAAATTGCGGACCAGACATTGTTTGGACCGATTACTATGGGAGATGATTATTAAGGGACTAAATATCGCGGGTAAAACTGGTTGATTTATCTGCCCAATACTCGCTGCTCGCGTGGCCTCTCGCGTCGAAGACTTCATGCCCAGTTGTTTTTCATCTGTAACAACCACGACTTCCATCGGGGCGAGACAAACGCATCGTTGCTATACAGACCCTTGCAGGCTCAAGAAGATGCACTGCAATGAAACTGGATGCCAACTCGAAGTTCAGCCAACAATGTATCTACGTTCCCCAACCAACTTATCCAATCAGCACGACTCTTGCTGTGCACTTCTCTAGCTCTGAGAGCACCAGTATGTAATTATCGTTATGTGCACTCACGTCAAAAACATTGCAGCGCAGTAAGGGCGATCGAGACTGTAGACTTGATGAAACCATTTCTTTGACATTTCGATAGCATGAACATATTAGTCACAAATGAAACTGTCCTGTAAATGTCGTTGGCATGCATCTACACTTTGCATTGGGACATCATGCCTTTGTGTCATGGTGACGATATTATGTATATTACATCATGCGCGGTTCTAGAACCAATATTTTTTTTGGGGGGGGGGGGGCTAGCAGGGTGGATCCAGATTTTTTTCAGGGAGGCGTGCTGAAATGTAGACCGGTTATTTTCTCCAGACACTTAGGCCTCCGAAAATCAATAGGTGTGTGTGGGGGGGGGGGGGGGGGGGGGGGGGCTCAATGGGGAGCGCCAATAAAATCCTAAAATCATTCACACTATATTAACTACAAATGCACCCTTGTCACGACTATTTCTTTAGGGGGAGACCATTCGCATGTACATCACAATCCTTCTTTTTGCTATAATGAAATTTCTTTTTACGGAATGTATTTGGGGGGGGGGCTAAAGCCCCCCTAGCCCCCCCCCCCCCCCCCCCCCCCCCCCTAGAACCGCGCCTGTATTACACAATTTTGGGTAAAGTTGATTGAACGGTTGATGAATTCAACAGTGCATGATAATTTATATATAACGTATATCTCGGCTTTTAACGCTATGTCACGAAACGCCTTCATAAGTGGTTCATACATTCCCGGAGAACGATTTTGCTTTGTTCACGACGGAAATCATCAATGTGAACTTTAATTAAATGAAAAAAAAAGTTTCTTTCGTCCACAGTTCTATCCCAACGCCTTGAGCTCTAAATCGCGTTTCCCATTCATTGATAATACTTGGAAAGATCGTTAAAAGAGTAAGATATAAACGTTCGACACGACTGTCTTGTTCTCTATACCAATGTGGGTAGCGGCGGGTCAAATTACGATATTCGAAGGCGTAGCGTTTGAGTGAAGTCCACGTGGGGCACTTAAAACATCGAGAGCTCAAACTCTATTGACATCTGTCTTGTATCGCTTGTATGCAGGCAACGTAAAACACTGTGTTTCCTTGCGCACGTTTCTTGCACACACGAGATAACTTACACTGGTCACTGCATAACAAAATCTACCCAATGAGAGTTCAAAGAAATTAGACGTCATGCAATGCTCTCGACATAGCATAAACATGCGCAGTGTCTCATTTGTAATTCTACTTTGCTTTATTTTCCCACCAATTACCAAGTCGTCATGGAAGCAACGCAGCTGATCTCAGCACGGCTAGCTGCCGCGGTAGGCGTGGTTGGAAGATGTGAAACCACCAGGTGCCAACTCGCGCGCGCCGAGTGGAATTGATGCGCATGCCCAGAGAGGGCCCGGGACTTGCATGCAGAAAGCAAAAGACTGTCAAGTTCACACAAAACTAATTTTATCGTAAGCATCGACACATGTTGCACTTTTATGGTGACAAATCCGGTTCTAAATTGTATGGCAGAGATGATACTTTTGGTAAGTGATATTTTTTTAAAAGATTTTAATAGAAGTCATTTAACAAATCGTCAGTGACACCACGAAGTAATACCCAAGTGGGCTTGAGTGTTCGCTACGCTTGCGCATTACAGAACCAAGCAGGTTTTGTTTTCACGAAGTAACGCTCATAAACACTATGCGCCGAATCGGTCATTTTCGTTTTCACAAAGTAACACTCATCTTTATTTCACCATCAGTTTTAAGGCTTGTTATTAACAATTCCTGCAATCCTACAAGAAGAGGTATTAATTACATTCCTGTCAAACGTTTTAAAACGCTTTGATCCAAATAGCATTTCCGTAACAGTGTGAAAACGAAACTCGTTCCCGCCAGTGTCCGATGTGCGCGCGCACGCTTGAGTGTTACTTCGTGAAACCAACATTTGTCATTTTGCGGTTTGAACAAAGTAACACTGGACTTGAAGTTACTTCGTGGTGTCGGTGACGAAATGCATGATTGTGTTATATGCATTTTAAAAACAGCTTGTCTTGTTTAACCAAGAGCCCTCTGGTTTGTTGTTCTACTTGTCTACGTGGTTTTTTTTAGGCAGTTGTCACCTTATATCTTGTTTTCCACAGCTTTTTCTTTCATCGACTTTGTGATTATATGTTTGTATTTCACTTATTTCACCTAGTATTATTTCTTTTTCCTCTTTCTTAAACCACTTGCAGTGTTACACCAATGTTTCATTAGGAAGCAGAGCAAATGCTATGAACTCAGCTTTATCTTGTCCAATCAATACTTTTGATAATGTCGGTCTATGAATTGATTTCCAAGGGCGGATCCAAGGGGCAACGGGGGCAATCCCTCCCCCCACCCATTTTTTATTAAGTGACTTCGCAATAAAGGCAGGCACTGCGATCACCACCATCTTTTCCTCAAAAAAAATTGGCGAAAATATTCAGAAATTGCCTCAGATCGCACCACAGAGCATCTAGAATCCAAAATATTGCGGGCACCTTAAGCGGGCCCCGAACCCCATGCCGTAATTGTTTGGACCCACTTATTAGTGGACCAAATTGTTGAGGCCCCCCCCCCCCCAAAAAAAAAATGTGTGTTCTGGATCCGCCCTTGTCGGTTCCTGTTACCTATATTCTCTTCTTTTCAGGTCCTTAAAATTTTACTGATCCTCTGTGACATGTGCAGCGTTGCAGACGGTAAGTTGTTTTCTACGTTTTGTCGACCTCACTTCTTGTACATCACCATTATTATTACATTGTAATGATACACTGATGCACGATGGTGATGAAGAATTATATCCCCGCGTAGAAACTATAAGGTCCAATCTTAGAGAGGGGGGAGTAGCATTGATAAATCTGCTGAATACTTGATACTTTAATTCGAAAAGTTATTAATAATATTATTGAAATGTTAGCTGTATTGTTAGCTGCCGATGCAGATAAGAAATAAATATTTGATTATATGGTGACGATGTTAGCTTTAAAATGAACTGCGTTTGAACCCATCTGGTCACGGCACACAAGCCTTCCAATTAAAATTGCGTTTCGAATATCGATGTGTGGATACAACACACAACAGCAAACTTGTCAATATTGGCTGAGTATATTAGATGGGCCCCAGTTCGCCCGAAATTTATGATTTGCTAACCGTCAAAATTTGACCCTTTCTTTGCTTTTTGATTGGCAAGGGATCGAGAATCGATTTTCAGCGTTTGTCCGGCCTTTCCGGCGCTTGCTACGAACACTTTGGCCCGGTGCGCCTTGTTTGTTTTTCTGTATTAATTAATCAGTTGGCAGGACATCCCGAGGACCGCACGAAGCAATTTCACATTCTCGGTCGCTCGAATTCAGTATGTTTGAATTGGGGTTTATTGAAGGCTTGTTGGAATTTTTACAAGATGTTGCAAACGTGGAGGCAACTTGACTCTGACCATTGTTATCTTGACTGTGGTTAACGCTTATCAAGAAGTTTGTTTTCATTTAAATTTTACTTCGATAATAATTGTAATTCGTTTGTAATCGTATTTTGATTATAGCATAGTAAGCATACCTTATTTTTTGTCTGTGCCGCTCCTCACAATTCTGATTTCATTCTTCTTATGAAATTTTCAAGATTATGTTTCATTTTAATGAAAAAAATAATTTTATCTGGTTGTTTTTGGTGTCCAAGGAAGGGAAAAAAAGCTTTATTGTGAGTAGCTCTGGCGCACAGGCGACTTTTGAAGCTTAAATCACGTATCTCCATCATAACTTCGGTTCCATTTCGAGAACTCGAATGATTAGCCTCTGCTATTGCGACAGCTATTTCGTACATGCCTAAAAATAGCATTAATCATTTCAGCGATATGACCCGGGATTTATGCGCAACCATTTTCTACTGTCGAGAGAAGGAGGAGTAACAAACTCCAATGCAGCCTAAATTAAAAATGAAAAGCTCACCTTGATTATTTGCAATAAATTGGGTATTGCTTCAGACAAGTCAATTTCAAGTTTACGCAGAGGCAGAGTTGTAGTCGAGTGTACCACAAGTCCTTTCATTACTCAATTTCAAGTCTTTTTACAAGTCCAGTCACAAGAAGCAGGGGTGAACAACAACGAAGGAATGTCTTAATTACAATTCACTTGAATTGACATATCGCCGTTTGTGAGTTAGCCACGCCCAACCATATGGAAGTTTGTACGCTACGTTTTGTTCGTCTGTTGAATTGTTTAAATAACAATATTCGGTACCATTACGAACACATTGTCGTAAAGGTTGGTATCTTGACATTTCTATACAAAACTCCCTACACGACGGTTTGTGTAGAAAATATCAGACGGTTATTTAGTACTCCCCCGATCACGCTCACTTAAATTTGGCAGCGACAGCAGGTCCGTTTTAAAGAATAACTTAAGACAGGATCAAGGTACCAACTTTTACGACAACGTGCTAGTAATGACGTGTTGTACACAAACATTGTGAGCCAATGATGATGTTCGGTATAGCCGAGTGTTCGGTATATCGGTGTTCGTTAAAGCGGCGTTCCACTGTAATTGGACAATATTCCACAAGCTGGGTTGACGCGATTCTACCGCGATAGATTATTTGAGACTGGAGGACTTGTGAAAGACTCGACTACACCACTGCACAGTGGTACTCTCCACGCCCTCCACATCTGTGACCAACAGGTGGACAGGGTTTATGTCCCTACCTGATTACGTCGGACGACAATTATCAACGTTTGATACATTTTTATTTTGGGTGTGGGGGTATTTTCTATCTGACCACAGCTGACTGCCCATTCGGATGGATCCAGCAGGGAATGTCCTGCTACACCTTAAGATCATCGGAAAAGGCGCCCTCTATTGCACAAAACGAATGTAGCGCCCTCTACGGTGAATCCCACCTTGCCGTTTTGGAAAGTGACTCGGAAAGATACGAAGTTTTCACAACATTGAGGTAGACGGGTTTTTTTTTCATACCTACATAACAATGACCGTTTAAAATCACACTCAGAAGGCAGAAGAGAGAAGTTAAAGGTGTTGAAATCCTCTACGGAGAGCTTACCCCAAGAGTGCGAATCAAGATTTACACAGAGTGTGATTAATGACGTTATAATTCATACCTAAACCGAATTTCCACCCATAAGAATGGTAAATGGTGTAAGTGGTTTTGGATATTCATGTAATTGAAAGTCTTCTAGCATCAATGATGCCGTGTCAAATGCACTCCGACTCCAGTAACAATCAAGGATGCTACATGTAGGTCTATTTCGTTTTTTTAAATAAGCTTCAAATATAAGTTTCCGGACCAATTTTCTGAAATGTTTATTCACTTCTGAAAATCGGTCATTCAAATTGGCCGAGAAAACCTCTATTAATGGTACGTGTCCACCCCTCTCCCTTTCCCCCTCAGCCTATCCGAGGACATGCGTTATGCCATTGGTCCGTTCCCACCGTGTGGCGAGCTCTGCTACTTTCTGATTGGACAAGACTGGAACACTGTCCCTAAAACAGGATCGATGACGTGTGACACGCCTCTTCCATTTATCTGCGAGGGTGCTTTAATTTATGGAGGTGATGTAAATATTTGAATTAAATCCACTACGATACACGCCATTTTTATTAAATAAAACTAATGTTTGCCCTGGTCGATCAAACCATGAAATTACTATTACTTTCTAGTCTCGACATTCTAGTTAACCAAAAAAATGATTGATCAATGGTTGGTATATCAATCGACTTATGATTTATTGATTTATATCTTGGTCTCAATTTTTGATTAATTGGTACTACGTTGAAGGATAGATTTGTCACTCAATCCGCTAGTTGTCGCTCAATGGATGGCATTTTTGAAGTTGCGATTCAGAGATATGAATTTTCATTGTCAAATTTACATCAGATTGAATGGTTGATTGATTGAATGAATGAATGATGATTTGCGTTTTATGGCTTCAGATCCCAACCCTGTTGTCAACGTGAATACTTCAGTTCTCTCCTCGGGCTCGATCACGGTAACTTGGTCAAGGCCCGCTTCTGGGGGCTTAACGGGCTTCCGAATCACACTACACGCTGCAGCAGCCGCTCAACTGATCGCTCAACAATACGTCAAAGCCGATAGTGACCCTCATCAGGCAGTGTTCAGCGGGTTGGACGGCGGGACGGTGTACACGGCGGCTGTGTTCACGGTTAACGGACCGAGGGAAAGTGATTCCGTCACAATAACTTCAACAACATGTGAGCTTTTTACTCTTATTACGTTTCCTTAAACTTCTTTAATTAACTCCACAACCGTGTCTCTAGGTCTATGATATCCAAGTAAAGAATACATTCAGATCAGAACCTAAAGCAACACCAATTTAAAATAAAGAATCTGAGGTAGATGGGCCTGAACCACCCGTCCATCGAAGGTTACAAAAGTCCAAAAATATTTGATTCCGAAAGCTTTCGTTTGCATCAAATTTTACGGTAGCTTTGTGCTGCAATTTATTATGTCCGAAATATATTTCCATCTCCGTTTGATAGCGTGAAAACTAGACAATAGATCCCGTTAGTATTTCCCCATGTTTTTTTCTGCTCCTGCGCCCAAGTGTCCTTCACGTACATGAACGTCTTGAAATGTTGTTGTCGAGAGTTTAGTTGGAAAGCAAAGCGGTCCATTTGAATCTCCAGCAGTGATTATGCTTTTCTTTTTCTTTTGGCTCCAAAGTTCCGAACCAGATCCATTGTCTCCAAACTGTGGCCAGGGAGAAAAAGATGACCGTTTCCTGGCTGCGTCCCGCGGGGAGAGTGGACGGTTACACGGTGGAGCTCACCGGGCCCGGCAGCAAGAGCAAGGAACTCAACGAGGCGGTGGACGTGAATGACGGAGACACGCTAGAATGCGAGTTCAAAAAGCTCAAGAAAAACTCCGAGTACGACTTGGTAGCCTACGCTTGGGTGTGGTACAACGGGGCCAAACTGTACTCAGCGACGGTCGAATACCAAGCAACAACGAGTAGGTTATCAATTTTTAACGGGAGAGGTATCAGACGGTAGTCAATTCCATCACAAGTCTATCACAAGTCCTCACAAGTCTAAGCCATAATGGTATTCCAAAGCCAAATATGATGCTATTCAAATAACGTGTAAACAAAAATATTCTTTGGTGATGTTCATACACTTGAAACCGGATTCGTGATTGGGCTTGTTATTGTACGTGTAACCCAGCCGATTTGTGGTGGTTAATTGAGATGGACCTGGCTACATACATGTACTGCATTGGTATCAAGGATTGATTGGTATAGACGGAAAACCTCTGCGCAGCTGCGTTACTTAATAAGCAAGAGGTCCTCGTTCAACGACTACCTCAGAAAGCATGCTCTATTACAACAGGAATAAAGGTAAAAACTGAAAAGCAAAAAAAGGGCTTCAAGTTAAAAGGTTTATATATTCACAAAATATGCGAGATGGATTCAAATTAAACAGGAAGAATACTGGAATTCTCAAATTGCTGAAGCTCAGTGCGGTCCCTTAAATCAAAATTGACTTTTAGATAACTTTTGCTTCAAGCTTAATCGTCGTCTACATTTGTAATTACCGTAGCATCTAGGAACAGTCAAGAGGATGCATCAGAGCCGTGCGAGCCTGTCGTCTCCTCGGCAGAGGTGGTAACTAGCCTTCCTGTCACTACGGAGCTAACAACACAGGCAACATTCTGCCCAGAGGTTAGCCCAGATTAAAAAGTAGACGAAGACGTATGGGGGGAAGCCGACTGAAGACACAAGTTGGGTTTAGGTCGTTCGATAAAACGCAATTGTTTGTGTACTGGCAAACGAAGGTCTTGGAAAATGATTTCTGCACGAACCATGCAATAATAATGAATTTGTAGCTTCATGAATATGTTAATTTTGATTGAATTAATACCGGGGTGAACAAATTAAAAAGACAAGAGCGGGTTTTCAACCAGCACTTTAACCAGTGTTTAAGCATCTTCATATCCCATTTTGGAAGTCTCCTAAAATGTAAATATCTCTGTTCATCCTAACGTGTGTAAAATAAATTGTCAGTTTTCCTTGCTGTCTATTTGATTGTTTTAGATTGATTACGTTGAACCGACAACGATGCTAACCACAACCCCTGGTGCTACGACTCTTACTACCCAGACTGAAACAATGACAGCAGCAACAATGTTGGGCAGCGCTTCGCTAGCTGTGTCAATCGCATCAACTACCGAGCATCCACAAACAGTTGAATCAACAACGGACATCCCAGCCTCCATGGAAACTCGGGAATTCACAACGCCTATTGATGCATCAACAGAGGAGATTCCTGCAACGTCAGTGGTGAGCATCTCCACGCCTTCTCTTCCGATATCGCCATTTTCAGAACACCCACAACCAGTTGACTTAACAACGCAAGGGGCATCCACCGTTTCAACTTCAACAGCAGAAGACAGTCCTGCAACAACATTGAGAAAAATCACGACTTCGTTGCCGATCACTGCGAGCCCGCACAATCAACACATTGTTGACTCAACAACTGTAGCAGCAACCTCGGAGGTGTATTCAACACAAGTTTGGGCGACATCAGTTGGACCAACCACTCAACATGCAACACAGCAGGACTTGACAATCGTAACACAAACAGAATATTCGGACACGAAAGCAACTACCAAGGATATATCAACAACGATATCCACACAATCAACTAATGATGAAGCAAAAGGCACCGCTACCCAAATCACGTCACTCACATCTTCGGAAGGCTCAACTACCGTAACAACCGAAGAAACATCCACCATAGCGTCTAGTACACTAAAACTATCGACATCTGTGGAATCAACCCCAGATACACATGCAACGCCCCTACAAACTATTACAGATGTGACAAGTCTAACAGTTCTACCATCAACTGCCGGCTCACCATCCACCGCATCATCCACAACGACGGATGAGAACAATCCCGTCAAGCACTCAACAACAATATCAACCACAGATGGACTTACAAGATTTGAGGCAACAAGCACTGACCGTGCATCATCGTCATATTTCAACATCGCACCAACTACTACATCTTCATCCAAAACGTCCTCCACCGAAACCTCTACCATTTCAACTTTGGATGACTTAACCGCCAGTTTCATGTCAACTATACCAATAGATCCGTCAACGCAAGAGCAACAGAACAATCCGTCATACAAATTGTCCACCGCTACAGCTTTCTCGATGTCACCCACAACAACCAGTGCTGATTTATCAACTTCAATCAATGATCACTCTGTACTGGTTCCGTCTACAGAGTCAACAACAGAAACAGGTAATCCCATCTCTGCCACCAACTTTGGGATGCATAGTTCACCTGGTCTCGATTCAACAACCATCCCAACCAAGCCACCGGCAAAACTCACGACCGATGTGGAAGGCACACCAAAGCAATTTCTGACCGCGGGTGATTCGGAAGTGGTAAAGGGTACTCAGACCACCAGCATGACGACAATAACATCGATCTCTGATCTACAAGACTGTTTAATGTCTACCTCTCCAACCAGTAGTGATGGTATGTACGGGTCTTTATTCGTTGATACGTTGATACGAAAACGGAAAGATCCCACACAATGTTTACACATGAACCATACACTCAAAAATTATAAAATGTTCTGTGTGGGAAATATCAACACTTCCTTGAAAGCATATCTATAATATTCATATAATTACATTACATGTAGTTCGTATTCCACTTATCTCTACATTTTTTTTTTATTGCAGTAGACATCGAAAACGTGACTAAAGAATTGTCTTTTTATTTCAGGACCTACTACCAACAGTTCTCCAGACAACGAACATACCGCAGTCAAACTCATAGCTCAAATCTTGGACTTCTTCTTGAATAAGGTTTGTCCATTTAATAAACAAAAATATGTTTTATTTAAAAATGTTTTTTTCGATATTCTTATCTCTTAAAGTGCATTGTACTTTCAGCCTGACGACATCGTGGGCCTCTTGAATTGCGTCGACGGCACGAATACCTCTCCTCCCGTTCAGAAATTACCGTGGCCTGATATTCTGGAAACACTGCTAGACAAAGTGGTGCAAAGTGTTCGGACGACAGTTGAAGAGACTACGGTTATTCGAGTCAAAGGTCATCCGTTAGCAGGCAGTACAGGTAAGATTCAAGAACATTTATTTTGTTATGTAGTTACTTATAGTCTAGAGGTTACCATTGTCTTTACTATGGTCGAAGCCTCGACTCTATGGACGCGTGCGCGTTCCTTGCACTTGAGATCGCGCAAGGCATGATGGGAAACAACATGGCACAGCAAAATCTCGTACCCATGGGAACGAGGTTGCTATGGTCGTCGTAGATTCAGTAGGCCAACTGTCGCAAACTATCGCAGACCCTCCGGCAAAGATCGCCTAGTGTCACAGATCATCTTAGATAAAGAGAGTTCACAATGATATATTTAATAGTATATACATTTTTAAATACTTGTCATTTGTCCTTCACACAATAGATGTGCAAGTTGTGTTCACAAACTCAAAGAACGGGCGTTGTAAGGGTTTGCAGATCAACAAAACGGATTCTTCAGACTCAACCGTCCACTTACCAGGATCTGTTCTCTACGACAATGGTAACAACAAAATACTCACATTTTTTTTGACATTTTGCTAATATGTCTCCTTCCTATTCTCTAACAAGACAAGGAGAGCCTAGTAAAACTGGTACCAGAGCTCAAGGCTATTCACTGGATTTTGTTTTTTTATGTATCTTGTAATCGTAGACCACGTGGATGGATTTAGCCCATTCATCGGCATTACGGGTCAACTATCCAATACGACAGCACTGCCCAGCTCTATTCACCAGTCTGCAACCATGCAGTTTAAGTAACAATTAGTGTCAGTGCATTAGTCATTCAGGACACCAAAATGGACACCAGGCTGGCCCTCTGGGACCAGCAAAACTGAAGACTAAAATAATGTCCAAAAAGCTCTTCATTTCATTGGTATGGCTAAATTTTCGCCTATAGACCATTATCATGTTGCGGCCATCTTTATTTTTTTTTTCCCATTCAAATCAATCAACGTAACCAAAAGCGAGCTGGAAGGAAAATAGTCTGGTTCCTTTTTTGCACAAAAAGATTATAATTCAGCAAAATACTGTTACTGGATACAGGGAACATGATTGAAATGGTGGCAGCATGATAAAGGTCTATTGCACACATCTTAAAACCAATACCCATAGGAGAAGAGTGATCATCAATGAGAACACTACGATAACTGTTTTCCGTGTATTCCCGACAGGACCGCGATGCCGATCTCTGCTGCTGATCAACATGGAGGAATTGCAGGATATTTTACCACCCGAACAATGTGTTGACAACAGGTAAATGGAATTCCCATGGCTCGTCTCTTTGTTATTAGTTTGATTGTTGGTGTCTTTTTGTCTTTCTGGGTGTTGCCTGTTCTCCACATTATTGAACATCACTGATGCGCTGAGGCTCACTTTTTTCTGACTCTCACAGAGACTATAGGGAAGTATGGAAACACTGTCACAGGTGTCTGTACAGTTAGCAATTACATGTACTTTTTCAGGAACCAAGTATCACCTTATTTATGCAAATGCGTTTTTAGTTGGTCACCTGGTGTTTCACGCGGAACATTCATTCTCTTTTATAAAATGAAAATCGCGTGATTTATGAACTAGTCTTTACTCGGAGTAACAACCAAATTACCCAAAACATACTGGGTTTTTTTCTCAGTGAATTTACCTGTGAGGAGCTGTTGACGCCATTCTCCCTAGTGACTATCGCGCTCAAGCCGCCGAAATCACAGCCCTTCCCGGAACATGTCACGATTGAGTTCCCGGTACCGGTAGGTCGTTCATTATTTTCTCACTGTTGAGAAATCATGAGATCTGCAGTAAACGGAACTAGCTATATCAGAGCGCTATATATGTTTGAATGGATAATCGTTATTCTGTCTTCTGGTATGACATCAGCAGGCATGCAACTTGTCCTCGGATCAGCAGATTTCCTCTTTTTTTACTTCCCATGTGTGCCATTAAAATAGAAAAACAGTGCACAAAGACTTGGAAAGATTTGAATTTCCTCTTATTTTGTGACTTCCCAGTTGCATGCCTGCATCAGGGATTCCTCAAATGCAGCATTGCAGTTGTAGCTCGCAAGCCCGGAGAAACCTGTGGAGAGGGGACAACGATAAGAGGTTTAGTTGTCATCAATCATATGATATGGCATATTGCTTAAATTTAATCTGATTAATTTATGACAATCTTGAAATGCTTAAATAGTTCTATTCTTTTTCCACATTATAGGCGACGGAATTGATCCCAGTGTGTGTTTGGGTTGAGGCCACCATTCACACGTAAGTCAGAAAGATAGATTGAATTGATATGGGCCTAAGGCCCGGTTCATACTCTGCGCGAAATCGACTGAAGCGAACACGAATTTGTGACGTCATGGCAAGTATTCGCGCTGCGAATTCGTACAAGTTGAACAATAACTCGGGCGAATTTCGCAGCAAATGTTTCAGGACGTCAAAATAATTCACTTCGCATTCGTATATTATTCGCATGAAGTATGAACTGGGCTTAATGCAGATAACTGACGTTATAACATTAAAGTCGAGTTTAAAACAAGTGTGAAGCCCGCGGTTCATAGTCGGCGCGAAAGCGAAAGCGAACAGGAATTTGTGACGAAATGGCAAGTATTCACGCTGCGAATTCGAAAAAGTTAGCATATTTCAACTCGCACTCGGGCAAATATCGCAGCCAATTATGACGTCAAATTTGCTTCGCATTCGCATAAAGTGTGAACCGGGCTTTAGGTACAAAGTACAAAATGACGACTAATTCATTTGACAGCTGGGCTATATTTTAAAACTATAAAAACCCTCTATTTTAAAACTATAAAAACTCGGCAAATATCAGAACACAACTAAACCGAGGTAAATCTTTACCTTATAAAGGTTCCTCATGTTATTTTACGAATATGCTTTGCATTTCTAGAGATAAAACCAAAACAGGCTATTCGTGGAACAGCAAAGGCTGTGAGACGCTCATCAATAGAGAGGCATCCACCGTAGTTTGCCAGTGCTATCACCTGACAAGCTTTACTGTCATAATGAAAGTGACTGATTTTGAGGTAAGTTAATTATGCCACCAAAATAATGCTTATAACCAGGGCGTTGATTTTGCAGTACCTTGTTATACACTTTAAAACTGTTACGTAATAATCCTTCACTTCACTGGTCCCTTATTACCAATTGAACCGTGCATAAAAAAATCCACTTGACCTATTAAACTGGTACTCCTGAAAAAAAATATGGGCCATATTTGATGCATAATCTTATGGAGTATATAAAGAAAAAAACTTAGTACACCTTTAATAGAAATAAAATTAGTACACCTTTAATTGTCTTCAAATTCAGATTGACGAAGGACATGAGAGGGCGCTTCAGCTGATTAGCATGCTTGGATGCATTGTGACCGTCGTCTGCGCATGCCTGACGATCGCGATTTATCTCTATCTGAGGTAAACATTTGAGTTTGAGTGCAACTTAAGATCTGCCAACTTCTTATGCTGACAGATCACAGAGCAATCAGCAGATTCTCCTTCAAATCTAAAAAAAAAATATATTCGGCACATAGATCGATGTTCTTTTGCAATTGTAACTTAAATACCCCCAAGAAAAAAACCAACTCCGCCCCCTCCAACAAAAAGGCATCAAAGACTGTTTAGTGAGAATAAAAAGCAACATATTTTAGTTTGGAAATAAGATTTAGATTGAACACTCACTTCACTGAGCACTGTGTGTCAATGCAAATCTCTTTTCCATCTCTGATTTTTTTTCCAACCTGACCTAGAGCAAACTTTTACAATTATTTGTCCTCCATGATATGGCGCATCATGGACACCCTACAACCACTGAGACTCATATCAAATACATCGCTGCCCTTCGTTAAGTCTGATATTATTTATTAATGTTTTCCTCTCCTGAGCAGAATCATGAAGGAAGAGAAGTTGATTCATGTCCAGTTGCTCCTAGCGATCGCCATAGCGCAGCTTATCTTTCTCCTTGGCATTGATCGAACTGAAAACAAGGTGAGTAAATGAAATAAAAACTTGAGACCATCATGTCATATCGTCCAGGTCCTGTCGTAGGCCCCTAAAATAATTCACCTTAAAACTGGTTTGACAATGAATTGCACTATAGAGTTTGTTAGTCACTGTATGTCTACTGGCTGAAATCAGGACATTTTATATAGATGGAATCTTGACATCCGTGACTCGAGTTTTTACTTGTGACGGGGATCGACATATCTACGACTCGAGTTTTCACACCTTCGACTCAAGTTTTAACGTATTTTACTACACGACGTCTTGAAATCCCTGTCTTGAATCTTGAAATATGTGGCTTGGGTATTTGCATTTGTAACTCCAGTCTTTGGGTCTGTAACTTAAGGGGTTTTTTTATCTATGATAAGAGTCTCGACTTTCTTCTCACTGGAGTCTTGGAAAATTATGATCGAATCTTGACATATTGTAATCGACATCTTACATTTGAGACTTGAGTTTTAACATCTAGAGACTCGAATCTTGACATGTCGTCACTCGACCGACTTTTGACGCTTGCGATTAGAATCTCGACAACTGGGGCTCGAGTCTTAACACCAAGTAAGTCGAGTTCTTGGCATCTTGTGACTCAAGGATCGATATGTTATTACACGTGTTTTAACATTCTAATGACCCGAATTTCGACACTATTGACACGAGTCTTGACCTCTATGACTCGAGTCGCGACACCTGCGAGCTGAGTCTAAAAATGTGTGACTCGATCTAGTCTGGACATCTTCTTAGAAACTTGACATCTGCGACACGAGTCGACACATCAGGTCTGTAACTTAAGTATCTTTTTTTTTTATCTATGATCACATTCTTGAAATTCTTCTCACGTTTTTTTTTAGCACATACGATCAACTCTTGACATGTTGTCACTCGAGTCCTTACATGTCATGACTCTGGTCTTGATTTTTGCGATTAGAATGTCGACAACTGGGACGCGAGTCTTAAAACCAAGTATCTCCAGTTATGGCATCTTGTGACTCGAGGCTCGATACCTTATTACCTCGCGTTTTTAATAACATTCTAATGACCCAATTTTGACACTATGGACATGAGTTTTGACATCAGGGACTCGAGTCTTGGCATCAGAGAATCTCGTTTTGACATATTGAAATCGAGTCTAGTCATTTAAGACTCAACTCTTGGCATGTACAACTCGAGTCGCGACACCTGCAACCCGAGTCTAGAAATCTGTGATTCGAGTCTCGACATCTTCTTTAAGACATCTGCGACACGAGCCTACACATCTGCGACTTGAGTCATATCTTGGGGGTCGAATCATAACATAACTCAGAGACTCATCTCTATTGTGCTATCTGTATAAGATCTTGATATCCTTGACCTGAGTCTTTACATCCGCGACTGAAGTCTTAACACCTTGTGACTTGAGTCATGTCGTCTGTCACACTTTTTTAATACATATGTACCTCCACAGGTGTTGTGCACGATCATAGCCATCTGTCTTTTCTACTTCATGAGCGCCACCTTCACCTGGATGCTAATGGAGGTCACCCATCTCTACATGAGCGTAGTCAGAGTATTCAATTCCGGGTCAAGGATGAGAGTTTACCTCCTTGCAGGATGGGGTCAGTATCGTTGCCGTGTACATCCTGAAAAAAACTGGCAAGCCTAAAAGCTGGTATCACAACTCCGTACAAAACTATATTCGATTGACTCAAAATAGGTATTTACTGAAGGTTTTTTTCATGCATCAGTCCATATCATATGGGACGGAGTTTTCCAATGCATTGGCAAATTGGTGTAATCCTATGCAATGGCACTGCCAAGTTCAAAAGTAACATGAAGACTTAGTGAGTGTATCAGTCAGTCGGTCAGTCAGTTGGTTATAAAGATAATTAGAGACGTACCCTATTATAGGACCAGCAACAAAAAAATCACGTGTGAGATATAATTATTTTATGCGTTACAAAGACGAGTAAACTTTTCGAACCTGATAAAATGTGAATAACTCAAGGTGGATTTAACGAAAACACAAATCTAAAGTCAGGTAACCATCGGAGAGCCAACTTTACTTATTTTCTACTGTACAGGTCTGCCGCTGATTCAAGTGTCCATTTCGTGTGGTGTGTCAGCTAGCGAGTTACTCAGCACCAAATAGTAAGTTACCGCCAGTTTTAATGATCATCCTCCAAACAGTTCAAATACAAATATTTGATCGCTTGTGCCTTGGGTAAATGCCTTAATTCAAGTGTTGTTTCTTTTTTTCTTTTACCAAATAGTTGCTGGTTGTCAGTACAAAACGGAGTTATTTGGGCGTTCGTTGGACCGGCACTGGTTATCGTAACGGTAGGAAATAATGGAATGATACCCTTTACTTATATATTCACCTTGAGTTAATCACATTTGTATCAACCACTCATGTGTTAAAAACGGCAGTCAAACATTTCAAGTATTCAAAAACAATCGACTAATAACGCGTCAGAAGCAAATGATGACATAACATTTGGCTGGTATATAGGATACCTGTTTTTTTTCTCCAGCGCACAGCACAGGTCTGTGATGTTTGTCCTGGTTGAATGCAGACTTGACCCAGCTCTCTTAAAAGTCCCGGAAAGATTCTGAACTAGAAAAGAATCGGGTCAAATCTATCCCCGGATTTGGTGCCAATCTGAACCGGGAATTTTTAAGAATGCAGAGTCTAGTATACTTTTTAAAGATGTGTCTTTCAGCAAGTTGGACTTGAAGGTTGGTTTTTAGGCTGTGGTTATAATGAGTCATGTTGTTCCTTTTAAAACACCTCCTTTGTTAATTAAGAATTGTTATCTACTACAGATTAACACGTTCATGCTGGTGGCCGTTTTGCGAGAGATTGGCAAGCTTATCGACCGAGATATCACAAAGCTTAAAGCTGGGAAAGTCAGGTGACAAATGCTTTTCAGATCCCATAGCAAGGAAAACTTGCTCTATGGTCAAATTCGACCCGGAATCTGAGTCAAATATGACCTGACACTTTTCTGGGTAATGACGAACAAATTCAGGTAAAAATAACAATAAGCCTTTTCGGAGTTCCAACTGCGCGCATTCGTAACCTGTGACAACGCACATTATTTGTCTCAAATGCCCTTTGACAGTACCCAAAATGCACAAACAGCCTTCTTGTAAAGTCAGTGGCGCGATGATGTCAAAGGCCATTTGAGACAAATAATGCGCGTTGTCACGGGTTACGAATGCGCAGTTGGAACTCCGAAAAGGCTTATTGTCGTGATCAAAATGACATTTGCTTGTGTCACACGATAATTTTAGTGTAAAAAACCCGTAACAGTGACTCAAAAGTTTGATTTTGACCCGAAAAAAGTGTTGAGCCAAATCAGGTCTGGGTCGAATCTGACCCGGGATATCAGTCCCGGTTTTATACTCCTGTGCATACATAGACTGCATACGCGCTATTCTCATAACTATTGTCATTATTATAATATTTATTTATTTGACCTCAAGAAAAACAAATACAAACAGTGATACAAATCAAAATAAAAATTACACATAAGGTGGTCGGAAAAAAGCACAACAAAAGGAACGTGTAAATATGTAATCAAAAATAATAATACTCATGAAGTTGAGGGCATGCATTTTAAATGACGACTAGGCTTTTTTGTTATGAGGTGAACCAAAACCAACAAGGCACATACAAATCACAGTTAAAAAGGATTATGTGGGTGAGGGGCCGCAAAAGCGAATCTAAAATCACTGTTGCCAGGAAGCATGCGGACGTACCCGCACACAGTGTCACTTGTATAATCTTTAAAATCGACAATATAGAACTACAGCCCCATAGAAAATAGTGATATTCGTAATCCCTTTCTTCCGTGCTAAATTTCTGTTCTTGATCTTTTCCCCAATAAGGACTACTGCGAAGGCTTTGCTGGTCTTCACCCCGATGGTCGGTCTGCCGTGGCTCTTCGGCCTTCTGGCGTTCAACTCCAGTCTGATCGTCTTCGATTACATCTTCACCATACTCAACAGTTTCCAGGTACGGATTCTCAACTGAGAATTAATTTTATATGCCCTTTGTCCAACCCGGTTATTCAGTGTTATTCTGTTTTCATAGGGAAACTTTTAAAATGACTGACCGAATAGGAGACCAGAGAAAAGTAAGACGGATAAACCAAGAAATGCACCAGATCTTTCCAATCAGAAATGTTTGCAAATCTGATAATCTGCAACGATCGGGTACCTCAAGGCATATTTCACGATCGGAACCATATACCAAGGAACAAAACAGGATTGGACATGAACAGAGTAGAACAACAGTCATGAGTTTTTAGGTTTTCATTCATTTTAAGGTTTCTTTTGTTATGTTAAATTAATGAATGCATAAAGGTTCTGCTCATGCGTATCCCTCACAGAAAACCCCAAGTGAGTCATTTGACTCATTATTGTAAAAAAAAAAATGAG